AAACATCAACCAATTCCGCTAGGTAACATCCATCAATTTTGGAGGATAGGTCTTAAAAATAAGTTATCAGAGTATCTGCTAATACTTAATCCTCTAGTTCCACCACCACCAAGGAAAACAACCAAGATACATCAGATCAAAGAGTCATTAAGAAGAAAGCACCATCGAAGTGCTCGAATTGTGGAGAAATTGGCCATACAATTCGTTCATGCAGGGTATAATAGTATATATGAATAATATGAAATAATCAGATGAGGAATCAGATGAGCAAAGAGATCAATAGAAAGAGAGAAAGCTCTTATAGCAGTAGTTAATAGAATGTAGTTGCTATAGTGGTAAGTAATGCAGTTGCTGTGGTAATGTATGGTAATGATTCTTGGCAAAATTGATTATGTGATGCGGATATTACATAATTGCTGTGCGGCTAGCGGGAATTGTTACACACACAGCAGCTTTTGCTAGCCGCACAGCAATTATGTAATATCCCGCATCACATAATCAATTTCGCCAAGAATCCTTACCATACATTACCGCAGCAACTGCATTACTTACCACTATAGCAACTGCATTCTATCAACTACTACTATAAGAGGCTCTCTTTCTTCTAATCAATCTTCATTCAATTGATCATTTCATATTATTTACATAGCCTATTATACCCTGCAGGAACGTATTGTATGGCCAATTTCTCCACAATTTGAGCACTTTGATGGCGCTTTCTTCTTGATAACCCGTTGGTCTGATGTTTTGTTGATTTGATATGATGTATCTTTGGTTGATTTCCTTGGTGGCAGCGGTGGTAATAGAGGATTAAGTATTGGCAGATACTCTGATTGCTCATTGCCAAGGCCAAGCCTCCAAAATTGATGTATATCGCTTAGTGGAATCGGCTGATACGTTGACAATAAGCTAGCGATTCGGTGGGCACATGGAAGGCCCATTGTCCTAGAGAATATATTAGTACAATTAGATAAAGGGGCTTCGGGAGTAGCTCTTTTAGCTATAGAAGCTTGCTTATAGATCTGGCGAAGCGAGTATTGTGATGCTCTCTTTGTAATATTCGAATAGAGAAAGTGTGAGCAAAAATTTAGCGTTTTAATCCGATCTTCTGCAAGATCGGACGAAAGGGTATAGTGCTGAGCTTCTAATGCGATATTAATTCGTTCAAAAACAAAGAGGATATCACCTGTTGATGACCCTATATACTTTTTTAAAATAGCATGAGAGCCTTCTACTCGTGAGGTTGCCCAATTACCAAGATGAAGATATTGGCCTATCCACGCCCTAACGAACATTTCTTTATAAGTTAGCCAGGTCTGTTTTATATATCAAAGAGCAGCAGGAGCAATTTGACTAAATCTAGTCTCAAACTTAGCGAGTTGATCTTCGTATTCAACTAGAGTAGATGAATTAATAAGCGATTTCCAAGACTGTATAAAAGCTTCAAATTCCTCATTCGAAGAGAAATATTGCTTTGTCTTTGCAAGCACATTCTTATTAATATGCCAAACGCATAATAAATGTGGGCTTCTTGGATAGATAGATTTAATTGCACCTACTAAAGCAAGATCTCTGTCAGTACAAAGAACTGGAGAAAAGGATAAGGGGTCTAGCCATGAGAAAAAAGTATATAAAGTCCACTTATAGCTTTCCTCCTGCTCATTTTGCATGAAGCAGAAAGCAATACTATAAGATGAATTCGATGGTGTAAGGCCGATAATATGTAAAAGGGGCATCTTATATCGATTCGTTTTATAAGTGCAGTCTAATAAAAAGACCCTATTATATTGATTAGCATACTTAATTGATGTAGGGTGAGCGAACATAAAGAATTGAACATGACCTTCAATATCTTGTTTGAATGCATATCTCCAATTATTATTTTGAAGGGTTTCCCTTAGAAATTCAAGCGGTGTAGAATTACCAAGTTTCTTTTGCCTTGATGCTATTCGAATATTATAGATATCTCTTGGCTTAATCAAGATTTTAGGATCTTTTCGCATTATACTTAGTATATATTGTGGCTTTGACCCGATATCAGTAAGATCCTGAATAGTTTGGTTTTGATCTTCGGTAAACTGCCGACGTCGTGCTATAGAGTGACCAATCATATTATCATCAGCCTCATGGTTATGAATAGGATTTCTAACCTGGATTTCCCACTGATCGCTTCTAAGCTTCTTCGCATAGAGACGAAAAGGGCAGCCAATTCGTTTTGTACTAGTTTTCCGGCGCTTCGCCCCATCTGGGGCATTGACCTGATCGTGATAGTAACCACCTCTATCACATCCAAGAGTGATGTTTCTATCTCTACTTGATGAGACAGTAGTTATCGCATATCCATGAGCAAGAGCATGCTGTTGGATAGAAGCAAGGAGCTTCTCTTTACTCTCAAAGACTTGCTCAGCTGGTGGGTTCATGATTGAATGAAGAAAGATCAATTGAATGAAGAATGATCAATTGAATGAAGATTGATTAGAAGAAAGAGAGCCTCTTATAGTAGTAGTTGATAGAATGCAGTTGCTATAGTGGTAAGTAATGCAGTTGCTGCGGTAATGTATGGTAAGGATTCTTGGCGAAATTGATTATGTGATGCGGGATATTACATAATTGCTGTGCGGCTAGCAAAAGCTGCTGTGTGTGTAACAATTCCCCAGAAGTAGTGAGGGATTATGTAAGTAGGTCTTTCGTCACATGACCCCACAACATCCATGTGTTGACACAATATTATATATAATACCTAATTTTTAACTATATCCTTATATTTCTAGAGAGTAGCTAGAGTAAGTTATTTAAGGTATATAGTATTACTTTCTTCTTCCCTGTTGTTCTGATATTCGAGGGTAAAGCCACATGACGCAGTATATATAGCTCTTTCTTTAAGTTCTTTTTAGAAGTCTTTCGGGAATATTATCTTTAAGATAGCTAAACGCTAAGAAAATAAGAACAGAAGGCTAGACAGTTACTTAAGTCTTATATTTATACGGTGGACTCCAGTAAAAGAAGGCCTATAGGTGATCCTAAGTAGGGATTCTCACCCGCTATCACTCTATTCTTACCCTCTCTCACCCCCGTTCTCACCTCTATCACCCCAGTCTCGAGACTTCTCACCCATATCACCCACACCCACGCTAGGATGAATTTCGACGCCATTCTAAGGCCCAGGGCGCTTTGAGAATTAACCGCATACTATATGTGGCTTAAGTACGGCTGAGCGGACGGGAAGCCCTGTTCTCCACACCCTATGGTCGTATGTGCTTGAACCACCATGGAAGTAAATTATTTAAAAGCATCCTGACCCCCTACATAAAGAGCGCTGGTGAGAATCACCCCTGCCCTGTCTACGGGCAATCCAGATGGCTGGGCCTGCGTTCTGCCAATCAAGGCCGCTGTGCCGCCGAGATGCTGGTCGAGAGTTTGGATTTCTCGAGGAGCAAGATGCAGCGGACACAAATATCTACGCGTTAGACGAATCGGCAAACTCTACGTCATGATCGCCAGCCTTCCCGGTGAGCAATACGGCACAATGAGATCTTGAACAATGAAAAATTGATCAAGAGGGCTATAGGCTATATGGTCCCCCACATTTGATGTTCAGCCCAATGTTACATTATAACTTCCTGACTCTGTTGATTAAATATTTGTCCCAGTATATCAATCCTTGGTTACCTGAAATTCGTCACCTTGCTTGATTATATATTTAAAAGGCTTGACTTCATCGAAAGTTTCACGCTCTTCAAGCAGCCACAATTCTTTCTCTATCAAGCTCAATCTTGGAGAGTTTCGAACATGAAACTTTGCAGGTCCAGAATCCTCGGTATTTCTTGACTCCTGTGGCCTGTGGTAATAGTTTGACTGATTCTTACAAAGCTTATGTAGTGTCACCTTCCCACCGATAATAGCTGCACTCATTTCTGTACCATGACTTCATCTAAAGTTGTATTGGTAGACACAGCGTCTCCAATATTGTGGTTTGAGGATGCTGTGAAACATTCCAACCTATCAGCCTATTTATGAGTGCTGGTAGGTCTTCGTCACATTTATGTTACATCGCATCGGCTCGCTGTCTTGGTGAGCCGCGACCAAGTCCCTTATAGCTAGCCACTTGCTAAACTCAATGGATCTTCTAAATACAATAGGAACTTAGACATCGACCCAGAGTATACCTCAGCTTATCTGTCCCCGGGCCTGTCGGCGTAGGACACAATAATATACTAAAATATTCCGACACTGTCTATAGAATAGGCGGCGAGTTATGTCGATCGGCAGCTACCCCTCACTATGTACGCCTTGCATATATCGAAAAGGCGTACATGTAGATCATATATAGTTACTCAAGGGATATAACGCACGGAAGCAAGAAGTATCTCGTTGTAGACATTCAGGTATCACTTAAAAGGGAGCCAAACCTCTATCTTCAAATGCATCATCACCATATTTTATCTTTATTTTCAGCCTTTGCTCCTAATACTACCATACATTGGCCTATTATTAACTTCCTCTCCTGTCTCGCACTAGCATGGCTGGCAGAAGTAGGCGCAGCTCAGTCGCCCGGGCCTCTCGAATACCGCTCTCTATGCTCGGACGGGAAGACCGAGGGAACGAGGATATTCGACAACGGCGTGACATCCGATTATACTTGCCACATCAAGGCTGCCGGCTCTATCCTCCGTGAAGAAAATGTGGGCTCTGCTGAGGCATGTGTTGCCCTGTGTGACAAGGATTGTCATGGCGTGGTATGGCAATACACAAAGAAGAATTGCGTCCTCTATGATTCCCCTATAGCTCTCAATTCTCATGGGCGAGGTTCTGTTTACTTTAAGCCTACACTGGTTCCTCAAGGTGGAGAAAGTCAGCCTGACCCAGAATGCCCGCATGAAAAACAGGCCTGTGAAGATGAACTCGCGAACCAGCTCACCATCGCTACAAAATGCCAATCCGAGCAGATAGACCTACAGTTGAGGAACCGGGAATACCAGTAAATCACGAGTGACCTCCACATGAAGTACGAAGCTTGTCAATCGGAGAAGGGTAACCTTGATAACAACATCAAGATCTGCCAACGGGAGAAAGACGAACAGAGTATTAAGTACAAGAATGATATCGAGAGTCTCGAGAGAGAACTTAATGAGTGTCGCAAGCCCTCCACCCCGTCGTTGACGTTGGCCACTGCAAACTGTAAGTGTTGATAGAATCCTTGTGGGAGAATTCAACTAACTCGATATAGGCCCTTCTTCAGACGAAAAACAATTTCTGCATGCAGGAAGGACCTGGGAGCTTCTCGGCCAGAAATGTATGTCAAGACATCCTAAGTATTCTGTGTTATATGCTGATCATAAGTTTCTATCTAGCTACTATTAAAAGTGGCACTACATACAATCGAGGCGGCGTAAGTCGAGAACGATGTGTGGACCTATGTGCACAAGAAGCTCACTGCACCTGGGCTCAATGGAATTCCATGTTCGGCTGCTACACATATAGTGGCAACTCTCCTGGTCCATTCGATCATCATTCGCCCCTCGATGCCTACGTGAAAGTCTAATACACACAGACTAAGCCATAACTGCATTATTTGAACGCCATTAAGGAAATGTGGACGACGGAAGACGGGTGGTACCCATTAGGGTGTATAGGGGGAAAAAACAAAGGCTTTGAAGGTGGAGGATCTTCATTTTTCCGTTTACATGTCTTCTTGCTGGTAGATGGGCTCTAGGATATTTTTTTACTCGGCATAAAAAGACAAAAAAAATAGAAAATTGCAGTAATTGTATTAGGGGAAAACGAATTGATAGTGTGGTTGGAGAAACGAATTTTCCAAGAATTGTAAGAATATATTAATAGAATAACTTATAGAAGGCTGGCTAGAACTCTGACACTAAATAATTGATAAGGTTCACTCGAGAAGGAACTTAATACAAGTATGGGAAAGCAAGAAAAAAATTTTCAACCGCATTTCAACAAAGGAAGAATAGGGAGGCCGAGTATAAGCGTCTGGGCTTATCTCTGAATACGGCCGTATAGCTGTAGCGCTACAAGTTTTGCATAGACTCTACCATAGAATTATATGAACTTTTCGTGTGGATAATTTCATATTGCATATGTGGGTCATATAATATAAAAAGCCGCCGCGCGTAGCTAATAGGATAGTAGCTATTTCTCCCCTAGCAGATAGTCTAGGGGCTACCCTTCGTATATCTCCAGAGATAATCCATTCAATAAACTAACTCCGACCATTCGGACTAAGAGGTCCACCAAGCGCTGTGGAAATGTTTCTAAGACACCTGAAAAGACGTTCTGTAACAGAATTTTCCATCAATGAATCCTACTACATGAATAAATAAAGTGGCATGTTAAACAATCCGAACAACTATTGAAAATTAATCTGATTGGCCAGTTCCAACGTGCTGACAATCGACCATCGATGGTCGGCCGTCCCAAAACAAACAGTGCAAACCGAACTTCGATATCCAAAAAAGATCCCGAACCAGCGACAGGCCAAACCGGTCCTCGAAATTATTGAGATCCAAAACACCATCTACCATGTCCACTGCGCGCTTGTCAACGTTATGGGCGCGGGAATTCCGCAGCTCCCAGAGCCAATACCTCCAGGTATGTTGCCTATCCATCTCAATTCATCCCCTCCGCCCGTCTGTCAAAAGCATCCCTAACCCGTATACAGCGCCAGCTCAACCAGCGCGCATATCTCTCCTCCACGACCTCAACCTCTGTCCGTGTCAGCAGCAGTAGCCGCAATGCTACCTCCTCTACATCTGCTCTGCGCACTTCTCCCATGCGCTCCTACTCCCAGGGCTCAGCTATCTCCCGTCTCGCGAAGAGCGCCTTGTCCCCCGGCGCATCAGCCGAAACGTATATCGCATACGGCATGACCCAGAAACTCTTCCAGGCATGCTCGAGCCAAGCAGACTACGAAGTGCCGCAAGCTTCGCAGAAGGGCGTCCCCGTGCCGACTACCGAGTCCGGCGAGCATCTCGGTGTTTCAGACAGCTGGTGGTATAAAGGTGAGCCAACCAGCCAGCCAGCAAGCTTTAAGCTGTACACAACCCCATAACTAGACGACTAACCATCGCACTACACTTCCCCAGAACTCGGCCTCGTCCCCACATTCTCAACCTGGTCCCAAATCACCTTCCTACACATGTACCTCCTAACCGTCCGCCTCCGCGCCCTCCCCAACCGCGAATCCTTCCAAACCTACTCCCGCCATCTAATCGACCACTTCTCCCACAACGCCGAGCACCGCATGGACGACCTGCACGACATCGGCTCCCGCTCCATCCGCAACAAGTACCTCAAGGACCTCTTCATCCAATGGCGCGGTATCATCGCCGCCTACGACGAGGGCCTGATCAAGGGTGACGCCGTGCTTGGCGCGGCGGTATGGAGGAATCTTTGGAAGGCGGAGGCTGCGGGGCCTGATGGGAAGGAGTTGGATTGGAGTAAGGTTGCTTGGGTGGTGGCTTATATGAGAAGGGTGACGGCGCAGTTGGCGAGGATGGATGAGGCGGATATTGTGATGGAGTTGGGTGGGGCTGGTGATCAGGAGTCGAAGATTTTTGGATTTTCGGCGCTCGATAAGAAGGTTGTTGAGGGGTTGTAAGGTGTGAAGGTGTGAAGTGAGAAGATGGGAGGGTGGTTGGTTGGTTGGTTGATAGATGGGTTGTGGAAAACTGGGCTGTTGGTGTTTGGGACTTTTCTCCATTCTTTTTTTTCTTCATATTGTGTTAATAGCAGGGATGGGGTGATGGATGACACCCGGTCGTTACGAGATTAATCCGTCATGTACAATATTTGATTAGATGAAGATGCATTTATTGGGATTTGGTGTATCGAAGACAGACTTTTCATTCTGATATTCTTCCCTGGCTCTCTTTTATGTCGAGAGTCTACTTCTTACCGAACAAGTCCTTCTCAACCATACCCCGGCAAATCGGGTGGTAGAAGTCCTTGTACTTCTCAAAAGTCTCAAGAGCAACGGGGCGGTTGATCTTCTGCAAGTTGCGGAACAAGGGACGGACAAACTTCATACGACCAATGCGGCCCAGGAGCTCGGTAGTAGGCTCGATGACACTCTCATCGCCGGCCTTCATACCAACCTGCAGGTACAAGTTGGCCACCTCAATGTTGGAGCTCTTAGACAGACCGTAAACCTCACCCATCAGCTTGGACAGCTCAGGAGTAAGCGGCTTCTCCCACAGCAGGATCTGCTCGAGGAAGACCAAGATCTGGTTCGCGGCCAGACCCTCGAGATCGCTGGCCTGAGGCTTGAAGGAGGAGTCGGGAAGGGACTCCCACTTCTTGGCGAGGGCGTACACAACGTCCACCATGGAGGTGTCAAAGACCGGCTTGGGGGGCAGACCGGGTGCGTAGAACCATTTGTCCCAATCCAGCTCATTCAGGAGCTTGGAGGCCTCGGCGTCAGACTGGAAGAAGTCCAGGATGGTTGCCTTGAACTCGTAAGAGTCCAGAGACTTGCACTTGAAGGTAGTGAAGTACTAGCCAGGGGATTAGCATGCGGGTGAAGGGTAGGTGGCAGATAGAGGATACGTACGTGAGGAATGAACTTGTCAAACTTGGGCTTGCCAACGAGGTTCTCAATGTGGAACAGGAAGTTGAAGCCCTTCTCGTAGGGAATGCTGGAGAAAGCATCATCCGGATCCTTACCCTTCAGGTCGGTGATCAGCTTGGTGAACTCGTGGTCCTCACCAAAGTGCTCCACAGAGTCCTTCAGGGCCTTCCATCCGATGATGGAAGAGAAGTGGCGGTAGGCCTCGCCGTGACTGTAGAAGTTAGAATTGGCCAGTAAGGGGCACGGATCTTGAATACGTACACGGCGGCCAGAATCTAAACAGGACATGGTCAGCAAAGTCACAATGAGGGTGGGCATGGGGTACAAGAGTACTTACGCGGCGCTCGAGGTAAACGGTCCAGCCCTCGTTCAACCAGAAGTGCTCCCATGAGCAGTTGGTAACCAGGTTACCACTCCAGCTGTGAGCCAGCTCGTGGGCAATGACATCGACATTCTCGCGGTCCTATATTGACAAGTAAGTTTGAGCCTGATGACAACATTTCCTCCCCTTTCTATGAAGAGCGCACCTTGGAGATGATACTGGGAGTAGCGAAAGTGAAGATGGGGTTCTCCATGCCACCGTAGGGGAAGCTAGGAGGCAGAATCAGGACGTTGTATTCACCCCAGACGTAAGGGTAGACGATTTTCTGCATAATGTTAGCATCAAGCCTTGCTTCTAGAGGGTGACTATGATGGGATATACCTCGATCGTGTTGATAAAGTTCTCCGTGTCGGCCTCGAGCTCCCACTTGCACTCATCCAGCTTATCCGGGCTGGTGGCAACCACACTGCGGGGACCAATAGGTGCCTCGGAGACATCGCTATGAGTGGAATGTCAGAGAGAGTTCATGACGGGGTTATTAATGAAGACTACTTACCCAGATGCAATGGCAAACAGATAGCTGGGAATTGGGACCGACTGGTGGAAGCGGTACAGCTTGTTTCCAGACTGGGAGGTCATGGACGACTGGCGAATGGGCAGACCACTGGTCATGACCGGGAGCGGGGAGGTGATGTTAAAGTCAAAAGTGCTCTTGACATCGGGGGTATCCTGGCAAGGGAAGATAGACCGGGCATGAATTGCCTGGCATTGCGAGACTGATGGTGGATTATTCATGTTAGAAGAGAGCAGCCAGGGTGTTTCTCATACTGGCATCACCTACACATATACGGATGCTTCTTGTTGGAGGTCTGGGCAGGGGTGAGCCACTGCAGGGCGGTGCACTTGTCGGTGGTTTTCACGGCAATCTAGCAGAATCAGCGATGTTCTCTTGATTAGACCCGAGTTGGTACATACATCAACCTCGACGGTGCCATTGAGCTCGACGGGCTTATCGAGGACGATCTTCAGCGGGGTGCCGTAAGGAGCGACGGCGGGCAGGAACTCCCATTTGGAGGGCTGGCCATCCACCTTGATGTCACCAATGTCCAGATAGCTGGTGTCTAGGATGATCTCCCGAGACTGGGCCTCGGTGGTGGACTTGAATTTGTGGACGACATTGCCGACCAGCTTCTTCTGGTCGAAGAGGATGTCAAAGTTGGCGGTGACGTGAGTGGAGCGCCAGTTGTTGTAGTTGCTCAGCGTGTTAGGATCACGCGGGGTGGTAGAAGCCACGGCCATACTGGATAAGACACGAGGACTGAACAGAAAGGAACCCAGATGAAGCTTGGAAGACGAATAGAGACGTCCGAGCGGGCGAAAGATGGTGGGATTAATCATACGTGGTTCTTCCAGTCGAATAGTCCAGAAGAAAAATATTTTTCCCTTTGGATCCGGTGCTAAGCGGGAGACTCTGGATGGGTCTGGTTATTAGTGGTAGGGTTACATGAACAAGATAAGAGAATGTTTATGTGATGTATATAATATGAAATGGATTTATAGTTTAGTATCTTTCTACGAGAAGAATAATAATCTGCAGGATGTTAGCTTGACGGTGATGTTCGGATCTCTGATAACTCTAAAACCTTCGTAGTCTTGGCTTTGTATACATCGACTTCTTAACTACCACCGTATAGCCTAGTCATGCTGTCTATGTCCAACTAGACAATTCTAGACTTGCTGATCATCTTCCTAGCCATTTTCTTTTATTCACCTTTCAATTGCTGGCCCGCTAGGGAGGCAAAAAAAAGACTCTCTTCTTCCTCCCCCTTTTTTCTGTCGACCCGCCCTTGTCCACTCGACCTGCCAATTATTGTACCTCTCTCTTTTTTTTTCTAGCCGATCAAGTAAAAACATCTAGATTTTCTACTTCTGTTCTGCTTCTTCAGCTGCACTTGGTGCTTTTGCTTTTTTTTCTCTGATTTCTCCCACTATCTCTATCCTTCTCACCCCTCTTCCAATCTTTCTTCTCCTCCTCCTTCTTTTCCCCCGCATCGACCATTTTGCCGGCCACTTCACACGGACCACCCCTGAACCAAACCAAACCAGAAGCAAATCGGACCAAACGGACCTTCCAGTGGGACCGCGGCCCCCCCTGAACCTCGTCCTTCTTGACTCTCATCACACATATCACACTCTTGCGACAAGCTCGATCTCTCCTCGGTCGCGCCTCTCCCTCTCTCCTTTCTTCCGAGTCCTGCGCCAGTCCAGCCCTGAATCCTCCGTCAATTGTGCGAAATGTCTTGCCTGCCCGCGACTACCTTGCGATAGACCCCTCGATATTGTCGACAAAAGCGATGTGTAGGAGTATCACACCGTCGACATAGAATGAACGTCTCCCTCTCGAATACGCCGCAGTCAATCGATCCATTTACCCGTCTGATCTCCCGCCAGTAATCCCAGTATCACCGCTTCACAAACCCACCCCACCACTACCGTGACTATCTTCATATCCTCCAATGCCAGGCTTCGGCCTATGAACCGTCTATAATCCTTGAATCTCATTCCTCCGCCCACCTTGAAAATGCTACACCGCTCCGCCCTGGAAGATGAACCGCGATCGTTCCACCCGAGACGTCCCTCGGGCCCTATCACGGAGCCCCCGTCTGGCCCCCTCCCCAATCGACCAGCCTCACGCACGTCACGGCCAGCCTCGAGGAATCGATTAGGAAATCCTTCCAGTGCGGGTATGTCCACGGGATTGGGGGTGGTGTCGGAGAACGGGTCGGATCGGCCTCCCATGTTGGCGCCTACGAGTCCTATTAAAGAAGGACTGGGAAGTTTGAACCGCTGGTCGCAGTCCACCGCATCCAGCAAGAGTCCATCAGAGTATACTGGTCACCGTCGCGGCAGCTCCAAGATGTCCTTATCGGGTCACAGTCCACACCACGCGCCCGGGCTTGCCGAATTGCCCGAGTTGAGCCTCCCCGAGCTAAGAGCATCGGAGATGTTCTCGACCGACCCAGACACCTCTCATCTCGACCTCTCCTTCACAGCTTCTAGCCATATATTCCAGAATTCTTCCGGCAATGACCCTCGAGACCTGGGTAATCTTCCACCCTACCACGATTCGACAATGATGCGCACGAATGATGGCGCGGCATTTGCAGATGGTGAAGGCGATGGGGAGAATCGACAACATGGACAGACGCAAAAGGCAATGCTGTCCAAAGCGCTGCAAAAGGCGAATACGGCAGTGCTTTTGGACAATGCCGCGAATTTTGAGGGTGCAATGGAGGCTTATACCGATGCCTGCCAGCTGCTGCAATTTGTGATGCTGCGGAGTAATGGAGGCGACGAGGAGAAGCTTAAGCTTCAGGAAATCGTGAGTCTGCCAACTAAATTCAGTTCTCTTTCTGGGGAAAAAACCACGGTTTAAGCTAACTCTTTTTCCAGCGCGATACCTATATGATACGAATTACCGAGCTTCAGCGCATGGATTTCCCGATGCCGGACGATGATGGCAAAGCGCTTCCCGAGCGCCCTTTGAGTCAAGAGTCCTATGGGGAGCTCTTTCACGCCTCGATCCACGATGACTCCCATATCGACAGCCAGCATAGCTCAGCCCACTCCAGTTTGGGCCTTCAACCGGCCTTTGAGGAATCCAGGTCTCTACCTTCCGAGGCGATTCCTCCTCGCCGCCAATCACTACGACCATCTTCGCATTCGGGCAGGACTACTCCCGCCGGTCTTGGGAACAATCTGGCAGCTTATAATGGACATTTCCTCGAACCCGCAGCGGTGCAAGAGACCAACGAATCAACGTCCTGGCTTGACACGATTGACGAGTCCGGCGCCTCCTCTCCGTCATCTGCAAACTCCAAGGCTTCGTCGGTGTACCTGCGTCGGCGGACAAGCCGTCGCCTCAGCACTGATACCGAAGCCGAATTTGATGCAGCCCTTGACGCTGCAGTGGAAGCTGCATATGACGATGGTCTCGAGCCCGTGATGGAATACAAGGAAGAAGAGAGCGATGATATAGTAGCGAATGCGCGCAGGAATATTGAGCTGGCAAAGCAACGGGTACGAGAAGCGGAATTGGAGGCCGAAGCTGCCATGAACCGTGGTCGAGAGTTCCGCCATATTCACGAGGAACAACCCGGCTTGGACAACCCCGTGGGCCGAAATTCAGAGTATCTGGACGAGGAGGCCGAAGAGGAAGAGCGTCTGCTAGAGGAGATGACCAAAGGATACGTAATGGATGATTTTGAGTTCGGCATTCAATCCAAGTCTGCCCTGCCTCGAGAGTCGGATTCTAGCAATATGTCTGGTCGAACCTGGGAAAGCTCGGCTGCATCAAACATTACTGGCAACGGTGGTGCGACTTTGTCTACGCTCACGGAGGATGATGATAACATTCTACCTCCCGACTTGACCGACAGGAATCACTTGCCTTCCTCTCCCCCCACGGCGGCATTGCCTCCCATTCCTGTTTCGTCTGATTTCCCCGGCCTACCACCTCACCGAGCTTCGTTGTCTCAGCCCCCTCCTCCGCCTCCCATGGGCCCTCCCCCTGTCCCTGGAGTCCGCGCTCGACGACTGTCTGGACTGGCTTCTAGCGAGCTAACGATCGAAACCGGTACACGCCCTCGTGGTGACTCTATCGTCTCAAACGTCGACCCCTTGACGACTCCCTCTACGGGGCCACCCCGCGCCTCCTCTCCCCAAGGACGAACCCTCGCAGGACCCTCCTCCTCCTAGGTCTTCGACGCCCAGCTTCCGTGCCAGTCTGCATCCTTCAAAACGCAATCCTTCCGTTGGTTCTTTCGTGGACATCAACCTAGCCAAGACTCAAACTAACGAAGATGATGGGCTTGGTCTTCCTCCTCTCCCTGTCTCTGCACGTCCAATAGGCAAAGTTCCCTCTGCTCCAGACGGCCTCGACAAGGCTCATACCAACTCCAAATCCGTCCGCAGTCGCAACGTCTCTGTCCCTATTCCCGATACCGCACCTGGTTCTCCTACCACCCCGTGGAGTGGTTCGTTCCCATCTCTCGATACCCAAAAGGCTTCAATGATACCTAGTGTGCCCGTGCTGCCGACTCCAACGGCCGCACATTTTACACAAAACGGTCTTCCTACCGGTGGTCTCAACCTTTTCGATTGCGATATCCACTCCCCCACTGCTTTGGGACGCCCCAACTCGCTCGTACATAATGCACCTGTCCCGCTTGAACCTTGTCCGGAGTCCTTCCTCCTCCGTCCATTCTGGCTCATGCGATGCCTGTATCAGACGATCTCTCATCCACAAGGCGGTTATCTGTCCGCGAAACTCTTCGTTCCTCGTGACGTTTGGCGCGTGAAGAATGTCAAGATCAAGGCTGTCGAGGACAAAGTGTCAAACTGCGATCTGCTGACGGCGGCCCTCCTTAAACTGGCCCAGGTGGATATGTATGATGCGGATGCCGTGTTGGAAGAAATGCAATCCTTCGAGGGCGTTCTGGAACAGGTCCAAATTGCATTGTCGAAGAAGCTGGGTAACGAGGTTGGCATCCACACTGCCATTCCCTTGTTCAAGTCCAATGGGTCCTTTGATGATTCTTCTCACCCCGAGCCGGCCTCCTCCAGGACCTCTGGCACTTCCAACAAATCCTACAGGCCGACGTGGAAACGACTACGATCTAAGACCTCGGGCATTGGCACTACCACCCCGACATTCTCGACCCCTCGCGATAGCAACAAGGAGCACTTGAATTTGAACTCGGTTCCCATGACGGCGGCACCCGTAAGCCAGGCCCGGCGCAGTGTGACCTCACTGGATTTCTCGGGTCCAAATTCTCATTACATGGGCGCATTAGCACGTCTCTTTGATGCTGCCCAAGTACTAGGTATGTTTTGAGACAAGTGTGTTTCCTGTTTCCAGCCACCGTGCTAACAAGTTCCAGATCAAATCGCCCAGCAAGTCGAGGACCCAGGGCTTAAACACTCCTCTCAAACCCACGTTGGCTTGGAACTGTGCACGAGACATGCAGCTGAATTCTTCGGTTTCTATATTTGCCGGTTCGCGTTGGCTGATGTAGGTCTCATGCTTGATAAGTTCATCAAACGTGGCAGCGAGTGGGTGTTGATCTAGTTTGCTTTGCTATGTTGTGATATGCATATCTTATAGTGGAGAACTGCCTCTACCTCACCATTCCTCCCCTTCCTCGTCCAATCATCATCATCCCCTTCCCATCTTCCCATAGATCAGGCTCTCCTTCCTACCCCGATTGCCTGGTTAATACGTACCCCCGATTTACCTGCCTATATTATTCTGACGTCTATACTATATTCACACCCCTCCGCCATGTCTTTAAGATACCATGCCATGATTCGCCTCGAGATATGATTTGAAGAAGAACATAATTGCCATTGTGATGGGGACTGACTGAATTGTACTTACCTAAACCCATGGTTGTTTCTCGTTCCTCCTTCTATCTCCTGTTTGATGTCTCCCCTTTTTTCCCCTCTGCTAGTCTGTGTTGCACTCCCTCCGCTTCATCTCATCCTAAGTCCTGATCCCAACATACCCTGTGCTGCATTTGATACGCGAGTTACGACTTTCCATTTCTGATTCTGTTCAAATCTCTTTTTCGATACGAGCATTGGATAGAGTATATACATCATGAGAAAGATTTTTTAAAGTTATTCATGAGCCCATTTCCTAAACGCTGTAATGCGAACGCCAAAAAATCCCCTCCATTTCTTTTTTAAAAGTGGAAGTCGAGAAGAAAAAAAAGTTTCCTCCACTCTCTTTCTAAAGGCTAATCCCCGCAGAACGAAGACAAATCTGCCGCCGTCGTTCAGCGTCCCGAATGATTTCTGATGATAATTTCAGACTCGGCGCTAGATGCGCATACCGCTCAACTTCGGCAACGACGCTAGAAATAATCGCATCCACCCGCAGCGGAGGCGGGAGCAACGTAGATAGCGTCGGCGACATGGTCGCGCCCATGATTAATAGTGTTTGAGAAACCATCGACAAAGCCCCCTGCCATAGATACGGAAGATGACCTTCGCGGTGGCTCGTGACGTGTTCTAGCTGTCGCAGCGTAGCATCGAGACACCTGCGACAACACTCGCGGACGCCGGGGTCCGCACCGGCTTGTTCGTTTTCAAAGACAGCCAGGATGTAGGGCCGGTATATGATTGTGCGGCAGGCGTTGTATCGTAATCTCAGCACCGTTTGAACGGGGTTTGAGAGAGGTGATTGGGTGAGTGGGAATTGGACTGGTTGCGGGAGACTTTCGTACCATTGGGAGAGTTGGAAGTCTAGTTCTGAGACTATCGGGCCTAGGGAAGAGAGTGTGTGCGTGCTGTCTTTTTGATAGATGAGGTGGCTGACTCGGTTTAAGAGTCTTCGTAGAGCGATTTCGGCGAGGAAGTACCAGAGTTCGTCGCGTCCCGTGTATTCTTCTGCGAGTCTACCGCTGCGGTCGTCTTTTTCGGTTTCGCCATCCATTCCTTCGTCTTCGTCGTCGTCTTCTTCTTCGAAGCCGCCTGGTAGATCGACTATTTCTTCAAAGTTCACGATGCCGGAATGGGGGAGGTCTAGTTCTGCGAGGAGGTCGCTTTCGTAGAGGAGGGAGTTCCAGTAGACTCGTACACTGAGTTCTTTCCACTGTGCGGGTACTCGGTTGGGGTTGCCCAAGAGCAGCTGGAGCTTCATGCTCACATTGGACAGCAGTGTCCATGCCTCGAGTGGTCGTACTAGGTAAAATAGGTAGGCCGATGCTAGTACCATGCACTGTGCGGCAATGGCTGAATTTCGCATCATCACGGAGGGCAGAATCGCCCATGCTGCCGCGAAATACGGGAGACCCGGTGGCTCATGATCTGCTGGTAGGAACGAGATGCTCCCGTTGCGACTGGCAGCTCCAAGGGCTAGTACTAAGAGCACGAGGCAACTAACGGGACCGTCTTGGAACCCTTGCGCCAGAGCAGTTCGGTAGTATCGGTTCCATGTATATGGATTCACACATGCATACCAGATATTTGCATGGTTGAAGAATGCTTGAACGTATGCTGGTGCGTTGGCCAAATCAAAGCCAGAGTTCGGGTTCAAACGCAGTGGTTCACGCGCCATTTCCAATTGAAGAAGATTCTGTGGATCGTAGGGCCCCGATACCAGATCCCGGATCAAGGGCCATTGGAGAAGATGCAGGGCCGGGGTGCTGTGTACTTTGGGCATAGTGGATATACTAATGCTGGGAGGCGGATTGGCCCAGGAGCCCAGTCCCACCGCCGTCATTCTCCCGGATGTTGAAATCCCATTCATCCGGGTGATTGGGTCCTCGCTGCCGATACCGGTGTCGTTGCTCGTCGCCGGGGATGTCGACGACAGGGCTAGATGATGCGGACCTTGTGCTGCTAAGCTAGAATGAAGCAGCCCCTCGATTCGGGTCAGGTGTTCTAGAATAAGCTTGTCGCCAGCATCGAGCTTGATTCCGGGCTCTCGGTACACACACTCGGCATCGAGATCGGAGCAAAGCTGGCATTTCGGACGGGCTCCATTGCATCTTGTCTTGCGTAACCGGCATATCTGGCACTGTCGAACTTTTTAGCTTGTCGGTTCTCAGCAAAAAAAAAGCGAGGTGAAATTGGAGGGAAACCCACGGCAATAGTTGCCCGTCTCCGCGGGTACTCCGCCGCATCTTCGCTGGAACGTTTCTTAGAGCCCAATAGATCGAGCTCGACCCCTGTGATAGGATCAATGTCTCTCTCTGGAGGTGGGGTCATGATCGCCAGGAAAGGACGAAAAAAATTGGGTGTGGATCTCGACGTTTTTGACAAATTGTGAGCTTCTCCGGCGAGAAGTTGATGTCGGAAGCTATAGCACTGGCAAGATGGTCGTGTAGCTTCTCATGCCATCACTGATTGGGAGGTTGTGGAAATCCAGAGACAGTCCCACAACGATGGATGGGGCGAGAGTCTATTTGAGCATCATATCCCTCGAGAATTATGCCCGTCAGATGGCGCATTGGTTGCAGTGCACAGTACCATTGAACAAGTCAGATTTGCGACAACTTGTAGTCCGAGAGAAAAAAAGTCCGGGGAACGGCGGGGCAGTACATTGTTCCTGATTGCGTTGAGCTGTACCGCCCCTCGACGTTTAACCAGTCTTGGTTTAGTGGGCCTGGGTGACTCTGATGGCAGCAAATCACCGTTGACTGCGAAGTATCTGGCACACGGAGGAACTCGTCCGTGGTTGATTTGGCAGTCCGATCAGGATCAGGCCATCGGTCCGCTCTCACACAGATATGATAAGCGGACGGTGAATCAGATCCCATAGATGCGATTGATTGCAGTAATGACCAAGTGATTGGCCCATATTACAGGATGTTGTTGGAGTGTTGCGAGAGTCAAAAAGTCCCAAAGTCCCGATGGCGGCTGATCCGATAAGCTGATAAGCCGATAAGACTATCACACGTGGACGCGTTTGGCCCAAACAAACGCGCCTGACTTTTTTCCCTTCGCCAAAAGTCGCCCTCGCCAATTCCCATCACCATGCCTCGCCCTGCTCCCAAGCGAAACCGATTGACAAAAGGCAACAAGGTTGCTAAATCCAAATCCACCGAACAACCCGACCAGACCGACTCCAATGCCGCCAAATCACCACCACAGAGCGCGTCCGAGGACCCTCGACGCACACTTCGAAGCCAGACACCCCTGACCCAGCGCAATGAGCATGCGATCGAGTCCTCGCCTACTGGAGAACGGCCAGGCACTGGGAGCTGTCCTGGAACTGGTAGTCGACCTCCTACGCGATCTCGTGGTTACTCGTCAACACTATCCTTTGCGGGGCGCAAAGGCGACACGAGCTCGCGCATTCCTGATACACCTGGTTTCGAGAACTCCGTTCTCAGAAACTTCCGGCGTCGCCCACGACAGCAGAGTATTTTGCAAATGATGCAAGCAGAGGATGACACACTAGAGTTGGACGACGAGGATTTCTTGGGCGGGCTCAGTCCCGAGGATGAATCGACACCATTACACCTTTCTCGAGGAAAATCGCTTCTGATACGACAAGATGATCAGTCGCAATCGCCTTCAGAATCTCTACCTTCATCAGGCGGGTCGCGCAAGCGCAAGCGCTCTGATCAAATCCAAGTCCCCCAGTCGCTTTCCGTGGTGATCACGAATACCGTCGTGGAAACCATCGAGGATACCCCTCATCCTACACCTGATATTCGCGAACCGACTCCCGATGTGCCCGATGAAACCCCTCGACCCCTACGATTTGCCGAGATCTTGAGCCAAACGATGCTTCCTCCCGACAGCAGTCCTATGAGCTCTATCGCCACGGGTCCTGGATCTCCAGGCATAATTCCCCAGCGCGGCCTCGCAGGCAAAAGATTCAGAGACCCAGCTCATATGTCTACCGCTGTATTACAAGAAAGACTGCTCCCAAGGCGACGACAGCGCCCGCGCAGAGGCCGGCCTGTGGATCAGTTTGATCTCCCCAGTGATGAGAGTGACGATGGCATGCAGAATGCGGCGTCTGGCGATGAGGATGAGCTGGGCTACCTACCTGTTCGACGATCCAGGCGGAGCGGGACGAGCAAACCTGAACCTTTGGGCAATGCTCGAGACAAGTCCAAACTTAACAATCAAAAACAAAGAAAAACTCGGTCCAAGTCTGCCCCAGCTGCGAAATCAACGGTCGTGCAAAAATCAACAAGACGCTCGCGGTCGCGCAGGAGTGGAGATATCGACAAGGAGAATGAGCAATACTTGTCAACACCATCCTCACCTCTATCCTCTCCGCCCGATTCAGAAGCATCCGAGTCCGAAGCAGAAGTCCAACCGCGTCGCATCATGAGCGAAGAATTGCGCGCTGCAGCGGCCAAGTTTGCCGAGGTCGATAAATGGGAAATGGAGTTTGAAGATGTTTCAGCGTCGGAAGTATAAGGTTTCTTGGTGGAGTCCTGGTGACAGTTTACAGTTTATGCTACAGTTAATGATTCCATATATCCCCCCTGCAGAGAAATTGATGGTTGACGCGTAATGAGACAAATTCAAATTTCGTTAAATTGTGTTATCTCTTCTTTTCTACATTCTTTTTATCTAAAATACCGCCAATAGCCGACGCCCCTCTCTCAACCAAAGAAAAAAAGAAGAAAATGAAAAACGGAGCCCCGCACAGCAAATGCAACCCCGCGACTTCTTGTCACCTCCGCCTCTCTCCTTTCATTCTTCGTCAAGTAATTCACAATGCCGTCGGTTGATGAGATTCTCGCTGCCAAGTATCCGGCCAAGGCTCATGCGCGCCGTGTCGCTCAGGTCCTCCAGGACAAGCATGGCGAGGCCGGCGTGATCTACCTCGAGGCGCAAAAAACTCGTCTTATCGAGGACAATGACGAGGCTATGCCTTTCAGGTAAGTCGGAAACATTACTGGTTCACCAAAGTTTCTCCTATACCCTTGGCCCAACTGGAGTTTGTCATGCTAATTGGAAACCCCCCCATTTAGACAGCGTCGCCCCTTCTTCTACTTGACTGGATGTCTGGAGCCCGATTCCTCGGTCGTCTACGATGTCAAGAAGGACGAGTTGACCCTCTTCATTCCCCCCATCGACCCCGAGTCGGTCATCTGGTCGGGTCTGCCGTTGTCGCCTGAGCAGGCCAAGAAGCTCTACGATGTCGATCACGTCAAGTACACGACCGACGTCAATGCGACCCTGGCCTCGATCGCGTCGGCACAGGATGGAAAGACTTTGGCTTTTGCTATTGAGGAGCAGGTCTCCGAGGGCGTTGAGTTCAAGGGCTTCGCGCGATCGAACCTCGGCGTTCTGAAGACTGTTATCGGCGATGCTCGCGTTGTCAAGGATGCCTATGAGGTTGCGCTTCTGCGGAAGGCGAATGATATCTCTGCCCTAGGACATATTGCTTCTATCAAGGCCGCTAAGACTGCGACTAATGAGCGTGAGGTCGAGGCTGCTTTTATCAACACTTGCATTGCCAATGGTGCTCGGGAGATGTCTTATCACCCCATCTTTGCTGGTGGTGCCAACGGTGCTACGCTGCACTACGTCAAGAACGATGAGAGCTTGACTGATGCTGGATCTCAGCAGCGCAAGGGTAACCTGCTGATCGATGCTGGTGGTGAGTATCAGACTTACTGTGCTGATATTACTCGTGTCGTTCCTCTGGCTGGTACCTTCCCTCTGGAGACTCGCCAGATCTACGAGATTGTTCTGGAGATGCAGAATGAGTGCATTGCTGTGTTGAAGGATGGTGTGTGCTGGGATGATGTGCACGCTCTGGCCCACCGCATCGCTATCAAGGGTCTGCTGAAGTTGGGAATTCTTCAGGGCTCTGCGGACGAGATCTTCGAGAAGCGTGTCAGCGTCGCTTTCTTCCCTCACGGTCTGGGCCACTACCTGGGCATGGACACCCACGACACTGGCGGCTACCCCAACTACGCCGATACCGACAAGATGTTCCGCTACCTTCGTGTTCGGGGCAACTTGCCCGCCGGCTCTGTGATCACCGTTGAGCCTGGCGTAAGTTAACCCGCCTTCACCCTCGTTATTCTATGGTCTTTCGTCACTAACCTTGCCTTTTACAGATCTACTTCTGCCGCTTCATCATCGACCCCGTCCTGCAGTCCCCCGAGCTGAGCAAGTACATCAACACCGAGGTTCTGGACCGCTACTGGAGCGTTGGAGGTGTGCGCATTGAAGACAATGTGCACGTCACCAAGGACGGTCCCGATAACTTGACCTCGGCCCCCAAGGCGATCGCAGAGGTCGAGAGCCTTGCGCAATAAGCAAGTTCTCTTGAGGAATCGGTCAATACAGATTATTTAGATAAGACAACATATAGCGAGCATTCATGAAATTGCAGTAATATGAGCACCTGATGGTCACAAAGACACATGCAGGCCTCCTTGTGGACTTGATATTTGATTCAGAACCTACTAGATCGCTGATGAAAAGGGGTATTGTATCGTGAAATATGCGGATTGTACAATTGGGGAGTTTCCTTGGCCTGGCCCATTGAGTTAATGAAGAGGTTCTCTTCACTTCTCACTGGCTCTCAGGCGCTTCCGTCCCCTTGGGGTCGATTCTGCTTCTGCTGGGCCAGACTTTTCCTTGCGATCCATCAGGATCTTAAGCACGTCGGTCGTGAATTCGGGGACTTCGAGACACATGCTATCCCAGTCCCCTTGAACCTCGTGTCGCAGCAGGTGACCACGAGAAGCCCAGTACGAAGCGACGGGCCTGCGGATGGTAGTGTCGTCTGGGGAGGTGTGAGTGTAGACGTAACGAGCGTAGGATAGCTCGCCACGAGGAGTGCCATTGACGCGATGGATCTTGGTGTGGGCGAGGCTCTTCAGTTGTGGTAGACCCAGCTTCTCGGCCAATGTGTAGATGCGCGCGTGTCGCAGCAATTCCTCCCCAGTCTTATCAGTCGCGCCTTCCGGCTCTTCGGATGCGGATGGGGTCTCTGGCTGTGTAACGGTGTAGTCTCGAGTGTACTCAAACTGCAGGAAGCAGCTAAAAGCATCGACGTCTTCGTTCGGGAGCTCAATACGGCGCTGTTGCGCAGTTTATCTGTCAGTACTTGCGATTAATGAAATATGGAGGAAATCTGCTTATAATTACGGGACCTGAGGACTCGAACTTGTTCATAAATTCGGAGAGGAATGGGGAATCCAAGAGCAGGGTTTGGTGAGCAGTCATAGAGGTCTTCTTATCGCCTTCGCCAATGACAATCTCGACGATCGGAGAGGTAAGGAAGCTGAGAGAAGTGATTAGAGAGTTGACAAGACCTGCCTCCCACGGTGGGAGGTGCAATGGGGTTTGCGCCATCTGGATATGACCAAAAAGGGCTGCAGGGAGAGTGGTGAGAGGGAGGGAGGGTGTCTTACTCGAGGAACTTGAAGCCTGCGCTCTTCTTTGCTGGAGTGGGAGGCTCGGCCTCAGTGGTCGCATCAAGCAGAATAATGTCATCTCCAGCTTTAGAAGTCTGTTCCGTGTTCTCAGTCTGTTCAGTCTGAGGGGCTGGTGTCTCCTGAGTTCCGGTCATTTCCACCTCGTTGGACGTGTTGTTTGCTGCATTCTGCAGGTCGGATCTATCCGTGCCGGAAACTTCAACTTTGGGAGTATCGTCCATTGTGATGGGTCGTCAATTGAGGACTGTGAGGTGGCATGGAGAGAGTGAGGGGGGAGGGATGGAGTTGGGGAGCAGAGGAGGAATGTTGGAGAAAGACGAGCTTCCCTAAAGCTTCTCCCGCGGGCGGACACCGCGTCTTCCACCGTCCTTTCTCGAGTCTTTCAATCAACTCAAGTCAGGTACATCTCTTCTCATGAAATCGCTACGAGCTTTCGCCAATAAAGGCATATTCCCCGGATCGGGATTTACAAGATCTCTCGACTTTCGGACTTGACTTTGACTTTAAGCTGGCGGCCGTCGGAGTTCGGTCATTCAGCCTTTCCACTCTCGCCTCGTGTCAGATGTATGACTTGTCCAATCCCGGGCTTTCCTTTTGATGTCATTTGTTTACTCTTCTCGGTCTTGCCACTGGAGATCCGGACTACCCGAGCTGTTGCCAACCTTATAAGAAGGTCTATGGTAAGATACATTACTACACTACTACCCTGAAGCTAAAGACAGCCCTGCCGCATGTGGATCTCGGATCGTCATGAGCGGACCCCACGAAGGCGAAGCTGAGTTGCCGAGAGGGCGTTTGGCTAGGACACCTCCCAGCTCCACTTCAACCTCCGTTTCCAGTGGTGCAGCATGTGAACATGAAGATCGAGCCAGGCGCCGAAGCATATCGGTAAAACTTCGGGAAACCAACCAGGCCGGCCAGTATATCTTGACGGCCGACGATGCGGAGCTTCTGCAAGAGGTGTTGAGGGATAACTTGCTTTTGGAGAAATCGGGTGCCTCTGCAAAGCGTCCCTTTCTCTTTCGAGACCTACAGTTTACCAGACAGCGAAGTGCCTTTGATCGCCAGAACCCGTCTTTCTCCTCTTCGCAATTCCATGGTTTCTTCACGCTCTTCTGGCTCGGTGTGGCGCTGATGTTGGTCAAGGTTGCTGCCAACAACTGGAGAACCTATGGGACTCCGTTCGGCACAACTGAAATCATCGAGCTCATGCTGAGCCGAGATGTTTTGGTGCTAGGGATCACCGACTTTATCTTGTGTTGGTCAACTTTGTTCTGCCTTGGCCTTCAACGGGTGATTCTTCGAGGATACTTGGACTGGAGTGGATTTGGATGGGTGATCCAAAATGTATGGTCCCTTGATCGCTGCTGATTTTTCATGTGGATGTAGACACTCACCATAGAACCAGATTTGGCAAACTTCATACCTCGCCGGCTTCATCTGGTGGACATACCATCGAGACTGGCCATGGACTCACACCGTCTTCATGGTCTTGCATTGCTTAACAATGCTGATGAAGCAACACAGCTATGCCTCTTACAATGGCTACTGTAAGTTTGATACCATGATTTCATTCCCTATATTGTGTGACCTTGCTAATAATGACAGTGTCGGAGCTGTACAAAAAGCGAGACTTGCTCAAGGGCCGGCTCAAGCGACTAGAGGGATATAGCAGCCACGACTCCGTTTCAAGCAGTCAGTCATCACCACCGAGTGCTATCGTTTCGGAAATTGCAAATTTGAGAAAGCAGAATAGACAGCGCAGCTCCACTGAGTTCAAGAGTATCCATGCTACTCGCGATACGGATCACCTCTTAGTACTATCGGAGACTATCGAGAATGGCACAGCGCTGGGACCGGCTCAAATGGTGTCACTCAAGGGCCTGCTAACCAAAGAGATTGAACTATTATTCGAGGGACTCCACGGTCAATTTTCCAAGAACAGCCAGTACCCTCGGAACTTGACCGTTGGCAACTTTTGTGAATTCATCACACTGCCTACATTGGTCTATGAACTCGAATACCCACGCACCGAGCGAATTGACTGGGCTTATGTTGCGGAAAAGGTTGTAGCCACTTTTGCTACCATTTTTGTCATGATCGTGGTCTCCCAGTACTGGATCTATCCCGTGGTCATGAGAACGCTAGATATGAAGGACCAGGGCTTGACGGTGCAGCAGCGACTTCAGGAGTTCCCCTGGGTACTCAGTGACTTGCTGTTCCCTTTTATGATGGAGTATCTGCTAGCATTCTACGTGATTTGGGAGTGTGTGGTGAGTCTTACGTCTCCCCTTTGGTGCCTACCTATCGTGACCCACTGTCTGACAACATTTTTAGCTCAATGCTTTGGCCGAAATCACCAGATTCGCCGATCGGGGATTCTACGCCGACTGGTGGAACTCGGTCTCCTGGGACCAATTTGCCCGCGATTGGAATCGACCTGTTCATAACTTCCTGTTGAGGCACGTTTACCACAGCACCATCAGCTCCTTCCACCTCTCCCGGGTTTCGGCAAGCTTGGTGACGTTTTTCCTGTCTGCCTGTGTGCATGAGCTGATCATGTTGTGCATATTTCGACGTCTGAGGGGATACTTGTTGTTCCTTCAGATGACACAGTTACCATTAGTCTCGCTGAGTCGCACGCGCCTCATGCGTGGGAGAAGACTTATGGGAAATATCTTCTTTTGGCTGGGGATTTTCACTGGACCGAGTCTGCTGTGCAGTTTGTATTTGATCATTTAGATTAGACAGCACAAAAAAGAAAGACTTGTGCATACTTCTACGGGTTGTGAATAAGAAGCATTTTCCTGTCTACGAGACTAGCTAGTCCCCATTCTGAAGGACTATCGAATAATGTGGATCCTTTTCGGAACGACGGATACAAAATATATGAATTTGTTCTTCCATAGACTACTAATTGCTTCGATTTAGCCTCAATTCGTCTTATTAGGTCTAGTTAGCTATCCCCATCATCCATAACACCATCGCAGGCACCCACGGCCACGCGGCGTAGAGAACCCGATAAAATGCGGGACTTTTACCCCGCTGATCTCATCGTTCCCCATTTCCAATCTCCCTTCCAACTGTTTCACTCTTCCCCTCTCACAATTCCTTAAAACCAATCCATACAAAAAAAGACCATGGCCTCCAATCCCCCTGGAGCATGCTGCACAGTCGGCGTCAAGCACGAAGGCGAAGCAAAGGGTCAATTCCAACAAGTCGGCGGAGGTATGCCAGATGCTCGGTTCATACAACTCCGCATTTCCATTTGCTAATTGATTTTACCCCACCAGTTGATACTTATGTCACGTACCCAACCGACCGCTCTACCAAGCGTGCTGTGCTATTGTTGACCGATGTAATCGGTCATCGATTCATTAATGCCCAGCTTATCGCGGATCAGTTAGCTGCGAATGGTTACTTCGTGGTTATGCCCGATCTTTTCCACGGTGATCCTGTGCCGCTGAATCGTCCTGCGGATTGGGATTTGATGGCTTGGTTGAATGGTCCGCCTGGTCATTTGGTGCCGCGTGTGGAGCCCGTCGTTAAGGCTGTGCTTGGTGAGATGAAGTCTGGCTTTGGCTGTGAGAGGATTGGTGCTATTGGATATTGTTTCGGGGTATGTTATATTTCTTGGGGGTATAGCTTTGGATTTGATTTTGTGCTGATCAGCTGTATGCTTGTGTTGGCAGGCTAAATATGCTGTCCGTCTGCTTCGGGATGACGGTGTTGATGCGGCTTATTTGGCTCATCCTAGTTTCGTGGATGCTGAGGAGCTGGCTGCGATCAAGCGTCCCCTGTCTATTGCTGCAGCTGGTGGGTTACTTCCCTGTTTTTTTCCTCCTGGGGTGCTCTTGATCAATGGCTAATCTTTATCATACAGAGACCGATTCTATCTTCCCGGCTTCCAAGCGCCACGAGTCCGAAGAGATTCTGGCCAAGACGGGTCAGCCGTACCAGATTAACCTGTACAGCGGTGTCGAGCACGGTTTCGCAGTTCGTGGCCATATTTCGAAGCCCATCATTCGATTTGCAAAGGAGGCGGCATTTACTCAGGCAGTAGCTTGGTTCAACCAGTACGTTTAGGTTGTCGGTTTTAAGGTACAACCTTATTCTAGAGCCTCAAGGTTTATGATCAGATTTGCTACAAAACAATATCCACCGTCTTCTCCAAAGGATAAAAATGTGTCTCGCATTTTTGAATTCGTGCCCACTCCTTTCATTCGTCATGTTTAAAACACAAGATGTACATGCATCGTAAAGATTTCAAGCTCAAGCGGAGGAGGAAATAGAAAAAAGAATATTCATAAGCCACTGCCGAGGTCTGCTCTGGCATGGCTAGTCCCATATACATAGAGGGACCACAAGGGATATGTAAATGGCTACCAAAACACGAGTCTTGCTTACATTTTCTCGTGCGTCGCCATGAGGGAACCTATAAAATCTAGTTAGAAATGGGACAACCTTAAACAAGTCAAGTGTAATAACATACCAATGAAAGTAGTCACCAGGCGAGAGCGCACTTGGCAAATATCCTCCGGCACCAGCCAAATGGTGGCACCCATCTTTCTGGCAATACTGATGCTGAGCTTAGCATTGGCATAAGCCTCCTCGTCGGACCGGCCAGGGGTAACCAAGTCGTAGTCCACGTAGCTGCTCTTCATGCCGTTCAGCACATCCAACAGGAAGCGACCAGTGCCGATGGACGGGTCCTTGAAGCTGCGGATGGCACTCGTCTGGCCACCACTCTTCGACATGTCGTTCGCCCAGCGAATCATCTCTGCGTCGGTAATCTCACGCTTGCCCAGGCGCTGGGCCAGCGCAGACAGGGTACGAGTAATATCACGACGCATCAACTGCCAAACCAGGCCCAGAGTAAGCGTACGTTGGCCGTCAGTAATATCAGCACCCTGCACACCGACCAAGGAGAACCCGTGGTGCTTTCCAAGCTCGATGGAGTAGTTGGTGTTCTCCACTGCCTTGAATCGCATCAACTCGCCTCCGGACGCGGGGGGCTTGTTAACATGCCTCCAGTTCACGCTGCCCGGAATCACCTTGTCATAAGCCTGGAGCAGAATATTACCATCACGCAGATCATCGAAGAGCGAGTTGACGGCGGGCTGCACATCCAAAGAGTTCAGCCAGAGAGTGAAGACACGAGCCTCGCGCTCACCCTCGGCATCGAAATCTTCCACCTCGAGCTTCTCCTCCTCGGTAATGGGATCCAATCCAGGGTGGGTGTTGAAGAGGTTGGCAACGAAAGCAAGGTTAAGCTTCGGGTTTCCGGCGACCAGGGAGGTTGGGGTCAAGAACTTGCGGCAATCCAGCTTCTCGGCGTTGGTGAGGACCTCCTCAGCACGCTGAAGCAGGTCTCGAGTCTGGAGGGGGCTGCGGGAGCAGACATCGGGAGCCAGCTGGTTCAGAAGAACCGTATAATTCTCACCATCCTTCACGTCAGTGGAGAAGTTCGTCACCCTAGAAGTAGAAGAGAATTAGTCACGGCTGTCCATTGATGGTTGTATATTTCCACGAAACAAGGATCAATTCTAGGGGTTCTTACCGTCGCTCCCACTTGGCGTTCTTAAGGTGATAGTTGAACCAGCGGAGCAGGATCTGCTCTGGGGGAAGACGCAGGAACTGCTCCAGAGTCTCATCCTCCTCCAACAAACGGTACAGCTCGGGGTGGAGCTTAATATCGATCTTGCCCAGCAGACCACGGCGAATGACCTGCCAGATCAGACCCAGAATCAAGTGCTCACGGACCTCAATGATGTCTCCGCTGCCAATGTTGACCACGGAACAGCCAATGCCCTTAGCGGAGTTGATCACAATGTTGTTGTTCTCCGTCATGTGGAAAGCGTTCAATTGCTTGATCTTCTTGCCGGCCTTGTTCAACACGCGCTCATCGATAGTATCCGGTACGCTGTCGTTGATCAGCTTGGCCAGGACCAAACCGTCCTTGCACTTGTCGAACATCTCGAAGGTATCGGTGGGGAAGGGCAACATGTCGCCAATATCGGGGTCGCCGGCCAGGACCGCATTGATGTGTCTCGTGAATTCGGTTCGCTCATCCTCGTTAATAGTGTGGGTAACGTTTGCGGAGGAACCCTGGACGTGAATGCGACCACCACCGACGCTGCCCTTGGAGACATGGCGGGCTCCACCCGGGCCCGCGCCTGCGCCGGCTCCAGCTCCTTGAATCACAGCCGCGGGGCTCGCAGCACTGGCACCGGGGGCCGGTCCTGAGCGGAGTCGCGCAACAAGCTGTTATCTTATTAGTATCTAGCGACCGAGATCTTGCGATAATCAAGCTTAAAGGAAGAAATCAAAACAAGGGCCACCTACATCAATATAGTCCTCGAGCTCGACACGACGGGAGCTATCGAGCTCCACGCCCTTCAGAGCCTGGCGCACCACATCGTATGGCTGGCGCTCGGATTGCTGAGTAGCCTTGATTGCGGAGGCCTCGTCTAGGTAGCCGCGGTCATCGACGTCCAACCTGCGGAATGCATCCTGGAGGGAGAAAATCTCGCCCTGGTCCAGCTGCGGGAATCGCCTGAAGAGGACAACAGAGATACAGTCAGCATTGAGGATTTTAAACGAGGATTGAAAGGAACGCACTTCTGGAGCTTGAGGACGTTCATCTTGGGTAAACGACCTAGGTGGGGGGTGGGGTGATCAGGCGCAAACGGGATCACGCCGGGACTCGACGGAGAGGGGGAATAATGTGAGAAGAGGAAGGAAAGAAGGATCTCAGGAACGGGATCACTAAATGATTCGGAGTGGCCAGGCAGAATCCAATGGCCGTGGGAAGGGGGGTAAAGGAGGAAGGGAAGGAAGAGCTGGGCAGTGCAAAGAGGCAAGAGGTAAGAGTGTCTAGTACCTTACTAGTGAGACTGAGAACCACAAGGTGGGGGGGAAATATCCGCGTATGTCAGCGGGGGGACGTTACTGTATTGTATGGTCACAGTATACGAACATAGGCTGCATTATTCATGGTATTTTACCAGAGAGTACTTGAACAATACTTCTACTTTTCACTAGTTCAGATGTTCTATTTATGTACTATAGAAGTATTCCCACCCCTCATCGGAATACCAGGCCCTCCAATTGACCTTTGCTGCCTTGCCCTGATGACGTCGCCGGGGCTGCAATTTACACCAATTGGACCAATCGAACGGAGACAAGAAACATTCTTAGTATTGTTATGCCTTCCTCCCCTAGTTGTGGCTTGACTCTCGTATGCCTCGTATACCTCGTACCCTGCCCATCCTCCAATATGTAGTAGCCCCCCCCCCCCCCAGGCAGACAGGTTTACCACGGCTGGACACCATCCCACCGAATCGCTTTTCCAACATCCTCATCTCGCCCCCCTTCAACCACCGCGCGTACAAAATTCGCCCCAATGGCCGGGTCAATGGCACCCAACTGCTTATTTCGTTCCGGATTCCCGCCCAGTCCAGTGGCCAAAAACCCCGGCGAAACGCACCAGGTCTTCACCCCGTCCTCGCGGAGGATTCGTGTCCATTCGCGCATCAGCATGTTCATCCCCGTCTTGCTGGATCGATAGGCCGAGATGGCTCGTGAGGTTTTGGGCCAGCCCTTTACTGGAGATTGGCTCAATCGAATCGTTAGGTTCTCCGACTCGGTCAGCGCGGATGCACCGCTGGTGATGAAGAGCAGTCGAGGATCCGCGGATTTAAGGAGCAATGGCACGAATGTGTGCGTGAGGATCTGTGTCCCGGTCGTGTTGACATTCCATGATTTGTTCCACATCTCCCGCATCGTCAATTCTCCGGAATACATCTGGGGGTCGAATTGTCCTCCTGCAATAATCTTGTGTGAGCAAGATGAAAGGATACACAGTTGCAGCACCTACCGGCATTGTTGATCAAGACATCTACTCGACCATACTGGTCAGCAACATGGTCGAAGGCCTTCTCAATTGATTGATCATCCTCGATATCAACCTGCACTGGAGCTACCACGGTGGCGCTGTTAGGAAATTCAGCCTGCAACTGTTGGACTGCCGCGTCAGCCTTGTCCATGCTACGACATCCGAGGAGGATCGTGTAGGATTTAGAGGATTCGAAGAGGGCTTTGACGGTTTCTAAGCCCAGTCCCGTATTTGCCCCGGTGATGAGGATAATTGTGCTATCCATGACGGTTGAATCGTGCAAAATGTTTGAAAATTAAATAGTTGCTCCCTTTTTTGCACGCTGGAGGACTCGGGGGTCCTTTATATTTCGCATCATCATGGGCAAAGAGGGTTTCCTACGTCTGATAGCACGCCTAAAAGCGTATCTGCCACGGACTTAAGACTCCCAGGCGAACTTAGTTGACACCCGAATATGGTAGGTCGGTCGGCCGAGCTAAATTTCCAAATGCGGAAGAGAACCCGGTCAAGTTTCTCCAGTATTGTACAAGACGCCAATTCATGACTCGGTGATCTCGGTAGTAGATCAAAACAGTAGGTAGGTTGTTACTAGTAAATGGTCTTGTGTCCAGGTGAGAATCCTGCATGGTGTTGCGATAAGAGGGACTTCTATCCTAACAACCGATCTCCCTAATGCCCAGCATTGTAGAGATATATATCCGCAGACGACCAAGGGTGAACATGTCTGCATTACCCACAAAGATCCAAGTCATATATCTACCATTATAAATCCAGCACCTATTAATAATCCGCCCATTGTCCTAATCCACAGACCCGAGAAGATCGCCAGGTTTGTCTTGTGGAAAACTATTGAATGCGTGGCTCTCCGCCCCCACGGGAGATCTTACACCACTGGGATTCCATCTTCAACACCTGCACACACATCGGTCTTTCGACGGAAATCAAGTTTCCAAATAGAATGGAACCAAACGAACTCAGACGGTAGTCAGCCATCTAAAAAGCACTAGAGAATGTCTGACTTCTCAAGCTTGACGGGCAAATTTCGAATCCACAAGGAACCGCCCCACAAGCCACCAGGCAAAGTCACTAAACGGCCCCGAGAATCATTGTCCTGCAACCAATGCAAGAGTGCCAAACTCCGCTGCAATCGGCGACAGCCATGTAGCTCATGTGCCCGAAAGGATGAGCCTGCGCTATGCTCCTATCAACGAACCTCGCCGGGCAGCAGCCACTCAGCCTCGGCGGAAGACCGACTTGCTCACCTGGAATCCCTAGTTAAGGATCTGATGCAGAATCCAAACCTCGGACGATCTGGAAACAACACTGTGGGAGACCAGTCATTGAAAGACCCAAGAGTGGCCGATCAGAATTTAGATGAAGGTAGATATGTTGGCTCCACTCATTGGTCTGCCATCCTGGATGATATCCAGGAGCTCAAGACAGCCGTGGCCCGCCGAGAGCATACTCCAGAGCCTAGCCCAGAAACTCTATCACCACCACCTGGTTCTAACAAAGAAATGCTTATTTTCGGATTGCCGAGTGATTACCCACTGGAGCAGGTTATGGACCAGCACCTCCCCTCCAAGGTGGAGGTTGACCGATTGGTTGCAATATACTTTCAAGGAGAAAGCTTCATCATCCCATTCATTCATACACTGCAATTCCAACGCCAGTATCGCGCCTTCTGGGATGACCCCAAACATGTTAGTCCGCTATGGCTCTCCATGCTGTTCTCGATTTGCTCGGTGTCCACCTTGATTCGTGGCACCGTGGGCATCTCCCCGACCTCAAAGGAAGATGTTATTGCGGAGGCATGCCAACTTCTCGAGGCGTCTGGGAAATGCTTGGTTCGAGGTGAATATTATCGCCCCCAGCCACTAGTACTCGAGGCATTGATCATGTATGCTCAATGCAAAAATATGCAATCCCTCGACCCGTCCCGAGAAGCTGGTGCAATCTTTGGAATGGTCGTTCGCATGGCTCATGAGATGGGTTATCACAGGGACCCGGACTCGCTGGGGTCATTCTCACCATTCGAGGGTGAGATGAGGCGGCGCCTGTGGGCTCTGTGCAAGCAGGTGGACCTGATGGTATCCTTTCAGCTCGGCCTTCCCAGCAATATCTGTCTAGAGAACTGTGATACCAAATCTCCCCGGAACTTGACCGACTCAGACTTTGATGTCGACACGAAGGTTCTTCCGCCGTCACGCTCGGAAGACCAGCCCATTGGACTACTGTGGTTCATTGTCAAGGATCGACAGATGGTCAGCTTCTACAAGGTGTGTCGTGACGCTTTGAGCTTTCACGAAAAGTCCCATACAGAAATTCAGCAACTGGATAGTGAGATTCGACGGATGTATACAACCATCCCAAGCGTTCTGCGAACTCGACCGCTGGCCGAGTCTCTTACTGACCCTCCATTTTTAATCATGACCCGGATCTATGTCGAGTTCATTTACCTAAAGAGTCTTTGTGTCTTTCATCGCAAGTACATGACCCGAGGCAACCGGCTCAGTACCGAATCCTGCATGGAAGCTGGCCAAAGGCTGGTCCGTCAGTTTATCGAGATATACAGCGAGCTCTCACCCGGTGGCCAGTTGTATGGTCATCGTTGGATGCTGACCAACTTCACTATGAATGATTTTCTTCTGGGTGTGATGGTGCTCTGCCTGGTAGTTCATATCCACCGACGGGGGCCGGAATCTTCAGTTATCAAACCACAAACCGAAGAGACCATTCGGCCCTTGCTCAAGCAAGCGCATGCAATTTGCGTGGAGAAATCTTCGGCAAGTCGGGATGCTAGATATGTTTCACGGGCCATCACGGCTCTTTTGGATGGACCGGTGACCAGAGTCGGGGCGCCCGCTCTTCCTGTGGACCAACAGACTTACAGCACAATGGATGGAACTTCTCTGGGCTGGTTAGATCCATTTTACATTGAGGATAATGAGGGTTTAGACTGGGGGCTGCTTGATTCGCTCCTTTCGAACCAGCCGGAAGAGGAAGAGAGTGGATAGTCCTGGGGACTAAAAGGACTGAATAATGATACTGTTTACGATATAGCCATTAATTCTTCATATATGATGCCTACGGTTAAGGCGCACGTGGATATGCTAAGAAATCATTCTGAGGAGGAACAAGCATAATCCTCTTCCTCAGAGCCTATAGGGTCTATCTTTCTAATACGATAGATTCCTGGAGAGAAAAAAAAGGTTGACTAGATACATTTACTACCATTTTTCTGCTCTTTCCCAAAGATCACTCAATGTCATCGCTTTTTAATCACTTACCAGTTACTACAACTACTGTGGACGGAGTATATTCTACCATGTGCACGTGTTTGCCAAGGATGATCAGCTGCTAGCTCGTTCCCCACGCGATTACATCATATGCTCGGCCGATCCCATCTGGACCCGCGGCCAAAAATACGGGAGTTTGCTCCAGCTGGTCTCTTCGACATACCCTTCCCCATGCTAAGTCTGTACAATTGAATGGCGCTCGTCGACTGTGGATGCCCCTGATCTGGCATCGCATCCAATCTCACATCCTCACCATTTCCTGCCTTCGAATCCTCCACACCACACGCTCTATCTCCCCCTCCACGCTGGTTCGGCCCGTGGTCCTGCTACGGACGCGCCCGACCTCCATGGCGGGCGCTGACCAAAAGTCCTTCCTGGGGACACTCTCTCCGTGGAGTACCCCGAGAAGCTCCACTCCCCAGCCTTCCGATCGCCTACCAGGGAACCCAGACGTCTTGCAACGGTCGCAGGGAGAGGACCATACGGTGACCCACCGACATAAGTTGAGCCTGCGACACTACCCACCAGACTGTCCGCCATTGAAAGTGAGATGGTTCTATGCCGTGGACTCGCCCAAGCGAAAGCCTGCTCTGCTGGACCAGAACAAACCCGACCAGAAGCCGCCGCCTCCACCCAAGAAGTTCATTCCCTTCTCACCCCGCGACTCGCAGTCAATTGAAGCTACTTTTCAGAAGCTGTCGGAGATTGAAGACTCCAAGGTGGACGAAGAGACAAGACGAGCTGCGTTAGAACAAGTGTCGACGAAAGTACCGGTGAATGAGGATTTTCTGTTCGATGTGGATGTGGAAGCTCGAGAGCTCAGCCCTGCTTACTGGATTGGTCCTGTATACGAAGTTCGGCGTGGAACGTGGTTCTTCCAGGAAGGATCATTCGTTAAGCCATGCGAGGAGAACCTGGCTACACAACTTGAGGAGGGTTATGTGAAGCTACGGCCATGGAAAATCGATGCTGGGGAAGGAGAGGAAGGTAGATCGCCCGATGCCCCCTCAAAGGAGGGTCACAGTCGAGCAAAGGTGGGCACAGGCTCCGAATACAATGCACAGGACACTCCCCGATCTACAAAACCTTGCGATAGGTCTCAACCCATAGGAAACGCATCGACTGCAACTCCTTCAGACAGCCCACAGTATCGCCTGTTTGGAGCCTACATGAACAGGATTGTCGCATATCAGGATGAGTCGACAGCTTGGCTTAACACTGACGATTTCATGTCGCGTATGAGCACCACCGTGTATCAAACACTCGGCCGTACCCCGGGCGATAAATTAGTCCGTGGATATGGGGAGACCCGACGACCAAGGGAACCACTCGAAACTCGGGTCTCGGAGCGCAAGAAGGGCGAGAAGGTACCAGGGACCCCTCGTCGTGAGACCATTCGCACTTCTAATACTGCACCAAATTCGAGACCCAATTCAGCGGACATGTCAGGAACCGAAGCTGAAGCCGAAGCTATAGCGAGGCGCCCCATCTCAACTTTAGAACGGCAGATGTCCTCTCTTGCGGGTGAACCTCAGAATCCAGCAGAACTCGAAGAACAGGCTCGTAGACAGGAAGAGCAAGAGATGGAGGATTCCAGGGAAGTTGACAGTGAAGATCAAGACCGAGATGTCGATCATTTGGTGCTGGTCACCCATGGCATCGGCCAGCGGCTCGGCTTGCGATTGGAGAGTATCAACTTCATACACGACGTCAATGTGCTTCGCAAGACGTTCAAGGGAGTCTACAAAGCCTCACCCGATCTTCAAGCATTGAACTCTGCCTTCCCAGACAACACTAGTAACTGTCGCGTTCAAGTGCTTCCTGTGTAGGTTGATGTCCACACCGGGCTTGCCCTATGAAGCATACTAATAGTTCGGTAGTTGCTGGCGTCATCTTCTTGATTTCCCGTACCGTGAAGTTCGACAAAACCGAAAGGAACTCGATCTGACGGATGCGGATACCTTCGAAGACGATGCCTACCCCAGTCTAGCTGATATCACCCTGGAAAGTGTCCCCGCCGTTCGAAACCTCATTTCGGACTTGGCAATGGATGTCCTACTCTACCAAAGTGGATATTGTGAGCACATTGCCAACATCGTGAAGCAAGAATGCAACCGAATTCTTGAGCTATACAAGAAGCGGAATCCATCTTTCAATGGGACCGTGAGCCTTTGCGGTCACTCACTCGGAAGCGCCATTCTGTTTGACATCCTATGCAACCAACCCTCTGATGTAAATATCGCCAAGGGCAGCAGAGCGACCGCTCGGGGCAGTGATGATATGGCCGATCAACGAGGAGGAACGCAGAGTGCACTTAACTTTGACTGCGAGGAATTCTTCTGCCTGGGATCCCCCATTGCGCTCTTCCAGATGCTGAAAGGAAAGACTGTTGCTGGGTATTCTCCCCTAGGAGTCAGAGGTCGCAAGAGTGCGTTAGATGTTGGTGACATTGGATCTCCGCGACTGGGCTCTATGCGATCCTCTAAGCGAGATTCACATGGGAGCAGTCGGGATTTGACTGAAAGCTCGGCCATCATCTCCGCGCCCAAATGCCGGGACCTCTACAATATCTTCCACCCCTCGGATCCCGTGAGTTATCGGATTGAGCCTCTTATCTCGCAGGCGATGGCCAGTCTCAAGCCCCAGCCGCTGCCCTCCGTCAAGAAAAGCCTGTGGACGACCTCTGGACAGAGTCTTTCTATTCTGGGGAGCCGCATGGGCCAGAGTGTCGGCTCTCTTTGGAGTAACTTTACCTCTGGCGTCGCGAGCAGTCTGTTGAATCGCAGCCTGGGGCTGAATGCCGAAGATGTCTCTACTTCTCGGAGTACAGCTAGCGGCAAACCAACCGAGGATCCAGCAGGACACAGGCGAACCCAGTCGGGTACTAGCCTCCATAGCACTTCGCATGATTCTGATGACCATTGTGAGACACTTATCGATCATGATCTCGAAACCTTGTATGATGGCTTCCAGAAGAGCCGGACCACCCATAAAAGGGACCCGGCACGATCTTCTGGCGAGCCCGAATCGGGACTCGACTCGGAAGACCAGGAGCGCAAGTTGAAATTCGAAGATGCCAAGGTTCGATCGTTGAATTCCAATGGCCGCGTGGATTACAGCATTCAAGAGTAAGTGTGATGAACCCTTCCTATTCTCCTCTCCCCACTATCACTCTGTTTTCCTGCCAGGAAATTGATTCTTCTGGGGCTCACTCTTTTGTCTTTAGGGGCGCATTTGATATTTCCTTGATTGCCAGTATTGCCAGTCATCTTACGTATTGGGGGGATGAGGATGTGAATCACTTTATGCTCTCCCAGATGCTGTCGCGCAAGTCGCGACATCGACTCAAGGGAAGCAGTGCGGCAGAGAAACCATAAGATATAGATACGGAGTCCATAAATCAGTACATAGATACCTGGTGATACCTCGTGACATTGATTACTACCCATCCTCTAGTCAATGTTCGCCGATAGAATAGATTCTAATCCGAGGCTCATCTTCTTTATTTCCTTTTGACTTTCTCTCTTGGTTACTGACTGTCCGTCATGAAGGAGCTTCTTCCGCTTAGCGAAAGCCCCACAAAAACTCCGCCGAAACATAATTCCATCGCCGCCCAGAACTTTTCTTTTCTCCCGTTTTTCCTCCCCTTCTCTCTTTTCCTTCGTCAACCTCCCTGGCTCGTCTCGATTTCCCATCACAATGAGCGCAGAACTCCAACAGGTTCAAAAAGTGTGGGAGCGCACCCGCTCAAACAGCCCGATCTATGAATTCCTCTTGAGCGAGGTTGACATCTACGAGGCCGAGCCAGGGGTGGTTCGGGCTCGACTCCAAGTGACAGCCCGTCAACTCAACTCCAAAGGCACTCTTCACGGATCCTTCTCTGCCACCGTCACCGATTGGGCCGGTGGTCTGGCCATTGCCTCCTGTGGATTGGACGCGACCGGAGTCAGCACGGATATCCACGTCAACTACCTCTCTACTGCCAAGGAGGGCGACTCGCTGGAGATTGAGAGTCGTGCCAACAAGGTCGGCAAGTCTCTTGCCTTTACGACGGTTACTATCTCCAAGAAGACCGAGTCGGAATTGACTGTCGTCGCTCAGGGCTCGCACACCAAGTATGTTCGGACACGATGAAGTCCTGATCCGGTGTGGGTTTCCCCCAAATTTTCTATTTGAACGAGATGATTTCTCTTCTTTTTCCCATGCTGCCTCGCCAGCTGGGAATGTCCACTGAGTAGATTCAAGAGCCATCACTATAGATTTGATACCCCATTCCTTTCCCCCTTCACACCCGCAATCTTTTATCATCCGGCATGACACACACGTTCTTTGAATGCCTGGGTTCACTCGGATAGCGGAGAGTAATCTTCCACTCTGTTTAGCTTTAGATTCCTGGCCGTCTTTATGACTTCGAGGAAATGATGAATGGATACAATCATCTTAGATAGTCTGAATATATTGAATGTTTATTTACCCCAATGTCTTTTCCGACTGTTTAGTGCTGTCTAGTGTTGGTCCATCTAGATCTTGTACATGCAAGGACCTACTCGGAATTAAAGCAATCCAAAAAATGAATCCAGTTCGATCGATACTCATAATTAGAACCAGCATGATAATTTATGCCCAAAGAATTGCTAAAAATGTGCGTTGCCCATCGTATTCGTACATTCTGGATCCTCCACATGCGGAAAGGCCCGCATTGACGTCGAAAGCCGCGCCTCGGCCTGCTTGCGACGCCTGCGATCTACAGTAATCATCTGGCACTGACACTTCTCCTCCTTTCCCACTCCCCAAGCCTGACTGGTTCTCCTGAGAGGCATGGAGGTTGGTTCGCCCTATTTACATATTGTTCCCTTTATCCCATTCTAATTATGTCGCTAGAGTTACAATGGACCCATCCAGCGATGATGCGGTGGCCTCTTTAGCCACGACTCCCTTGACGGACTTACCGGCTTCTCCTGACAAGGCGACACATGGCGATCCCCCGACCGAACCGCTCCCTGCGAATGCAACGCGACCCCAGGAGCTCCTGGATCACGCCCTCGATTTCTTAGCAACGGCCAGCAATGAAACGCTAGTCGGTGTTTTTGCCCTTTTGGCGCTCGTGACATACATCATACTGGGTAGAGTGGGCCTGGTGCTCATTGGCATTGGATTGGGTGTTATCCTGCACGCATCCTGGGAAGGTGCAGCTCATACAAAATCGAGTGAAGAGTCCTCAACACCCAAGAGGCGCAGGGAACTCGCCCTGGAAGTATCCAAGAGACTCTTGGACTGGCCTAAACGCGAGGACTCTGCCCAGATTGCCGTTCTCAATGATAGCGGAACTATCGCGGCCCCAGAGGACCTATCGACTGTCGACCTAGAATTCACAACTTTCCAGCCTGCGACTGCCGCAGCTCTGCGGTCGCTCACCGATGCGGTGGTCAAGGACTATGTTAAGTAAGACGCCGAATCTTTCCTCTCCCACCTCCCTTTCACCCTGCCCGTTGCTAACACAAACCGTGAAGGCACTGGTATGAACCGATTCTTCCGAACGAAATCATATTCCCGGGTTCATGTCGGAGAACCTTGACCTACTTTGTCACAACGATCTCGTCCCACCTTTCTCGCAAACGAACTGAGGACACTTTTCTACAGTTCCTGACAAACTCCTCGTCAATAATCATTGTGTTCTTGAATGAATTAGCAGCTGCCTTTGCCACGGCTGACCCTTCGACTACGGAGGCGTCGCAAGTTGTTGAGCAATACCTCAAGAACTCGCCAGACAGTAGCCTTGCAAATGTCTTATCTGAGGAGCAACAACGGAAAAAGCTCAACATGGTCGCAGATGACATTCTTTCCAATTTTCTGGATTCCAAGTCTTACAGCTGCTCCCCCGTACGGGATTTTCTTCGAGAGGTCTTTGCTAGACTCGTGCTAGAGTCGACAGTCACCAGCCTCTCGCGCCCTGAGTTCATTAATGAATGGATCATTTACCTCTTCCAGGATGGAGAGTCCGAGATTATGCATGCAATCGATGCGGGCGTCGAGGGTGCACGCAATCAGAGTGTCAGTTCGTCAAAGGTGTCCGAGGACTCGAAGAACGCCCTGTTAGAGTCGACCAAAGAAGAGATCGCTTCACAAACTGCTGCGCTACCTTCTAGCAACAAGGATAAAGCCACGGAAGAAGCGTTACTGGAGGCAAAGCGCCTGAGTGCCCTGATTGCATCTCAAGATATACAGAACTCGCTCAACGGACCGGTCAATGAGGCCGTCCAGTCCCAAGAGCCATCTATATCTACAGAGAGCACCAATGGCCTGGTCAATGGGAATGCAAGTGATCCTGCAGATCTTGCAGCAGACGAAGAAGCTCCGGCATCACTCCCTGTGTCTCCAAGTGCACAGACAATGAACCTAGCTCCCTCTTCGTCTCGGGAGGAACCTGTCACGCTCCACGGTGCCAGAATCTTGGTAGACGACGATGCTGCCCGTAACGAGAAAGGAACCATCAAATCACGGCCTACCTGGGATTATCTGCTTCAGATCGAGCCCGCGTCAACCCGTGCGACAGGCTGGATGGTGTTTCGCAAATACGCAGACTTTCAATCACTCCACGACATGCTCTCGACCGTTTCTCGGCTGAACCAAATTTACAGTTTCTCGGATCAGTTTCCCACGCTACCCCCTGGAAAGGCAAGACAAGACAAGCCCTTGCGCAAGATCTGGAGCGCTATCTGCAGGAAGTGATGAAGCACGAGTCACTCGCTGAAACTGAACGGATGCGGCGATTCGTCGAAAAGGAAACTAGTGCTACCAAACAAGGATTCTCCTTCCCGAGCCAGAGTGCCTTTGAGAATATGGGCAAAGATCTCCTTGGAGCGCTCACTAATGCGCCCAAAGGTATGGCTGGCGGTGGTAGGGCGGTCTTGGACGGTGTCACTGGTGTCTTTGGAGGCGTCGGACATAATCGCAAGCTGTCGAACACATCAGACCGGCAATCTCAGCACCGGAAGAGCCCATCGAAAGTGGATCTTGATACCTCGAGTAACTCGGGCTCGGCCATGGCTACAAGCCGTGTCAGTTCTCCGCTTATCGGCTCGACATTGGGTGATTCATCAGCCTCTCCTAGACCTAGTGAAGATCGAGACTCCCCTGCACAGGCCTCTTTGCCGACTACCGCCCCGGTGGGCTTAGGATTATCGAAGGAAGATGTCTTCGACTCTCCTGGAAGTAGCCATGCGAGCAGCAGTGCCAATCTAGCCGCTAGCGAACAGGATACGTGGGCCTCAGAGTCCAAAACAGTTGCACCGGCTGAAGACCGAAAGTCGATTGACCAAGTGGAAGTGACAGAGACAAAGAGGGATTCTGTAGCGACCTCGCCCGAGCCTCCAATTGAGAGCGAGCCCGCCAGTGGCTCTCAGGTCACTTCTCAAGTCTCTCGCCGACAGCAGATGCCCATCACGGCAGATGAGACCCAGATCGCGGTGGAGCTTATATTCGCCGTGATCAACGAGCTCTACACTCTGTCCTCTGCATGGAACATTCGTCGGACACTCTTGAACGCGGCCAAGACGTATATCCTTCGTCCTGGAAGCCCGACATTAGAGACCATCCGGGGCTTGCTCCAAGAATCTATGATCGAAGCTCATACATCGGACGATGCCCTTGGAGAGTATCTGAAGAAGCTTCGGGAGAATGCTCTTCCCACGGAAAGTGAGCTAAAGGCCTGGCCTGCTCCGCCAAGCGAAGAAGAAAAGGCACAGTTGCGCGATACGGCGCGCAGGCTTTTCGTTCAAAGGGGCATTCCCCAAGCACTGACAAGTGTCATGGGTGCAGCAGCTAGTCGGGAAGCGCTTGAGAAGATCTTCGATAGCTTGCAGGTGGACACGGTGGCTCGAGGGTTTGTCTTTTCGTTGATGCTACAAGGTTTACGGGTGTTGACGTTATAAAATACGAAGCGAATACCTTATATAGGGAGGTTTTTTCAACAATTTCAATGAGACATGCTATATAATATCCCCCTTTCATAGAAGCTGCGTAGATGTAAACATTTTAGCTTTAAAGACTGGGCGACCGATCGAAATGAATGTGAATGTACTACCTCACACTTGAGTAACTGTTTGTGATAGAATCAAATCTATATTTCTAGCTTCTTTGCTTTTTCAAAATCCTTCAAGAAATCCTTCCAGCTCTCTTTCCAATCCTTCTTCTTGCTAAACCTCAATCATTTGTCTTTCTCATTTTCCCTCCAACCCTTCTAGCGGGACAAGGAATGACATATGAGAGATAATCTCTCAAAGGAATCTCTTATCGGCACGTGCCTTGACGCGTCTCCGCGTTTCTTTCAGCTTAATTACTCCATACAACTTCTCACTTTTCTCTTCAGTCCTACACTCATTACCTTACCTACTCATCATCATGGCCTCCCGAAAGCGTGCCTCCGACATCCAGGGCCCTGGAGATACCCGCTCCCAGACCAAAAAGGCGAAGGTCAATGCAGGCAATGACATCGCGAGCAAGACCGACGATAATGGGGATAAATATTGGGAGATCTCCAAGATGCGCCGTGTGACTGTCTCGGAGTTCCGGGGCAAGACCATGGTGAGCGTGCGCGAGTACTACGAGAAAGATGGCAAGGAACTTCCCGGAAAGAAGGTGAGTTCTGACAATTCGCTTTGTCTGTGGAGATCACGGTCTCTGTTTGGATCGGGGAGGTTCCCTCGTTGATACTACTTGTACTAATTATCCCTAAATAGGGCATCTCCATGGCTCTCGATCAATTCTCCTCTCTCATCAAGCTCCTCCCCGACATCGAGCAAGCTGTCAAGCAACATGGCGAGTCGTTGCCTCGACCAGCGTATGTGGGCCAGGCGGATGCGGAGGACGCCGAGGAACAAAGCGAGACCAGCAAAGTTGCCAGCCCCTCCAAGCAAAACATTGAGGCTACGAGTGACGAGGATAGCGACTCATAGGCCATGAATTTTGACGCGTTTGGACATCTCCGGTAGCATGCCAAAGGCTACCTTCTATTTTTTTTGGCGTTGAATACCCTAACAATGAAATCATTCATGCTCTTCTTGCTGCTCTTCACTATCTCTTTAGTCAATGAATTCAATACTTTCACATACTCGCTTCTTGCGTTGCCAGACGGGTAGCCAGGGAACCACCTCGCCAGGCATGACGAGCATCCGTTTCATGAACAAGCTGGTGCTGGTCCCCAACTCGACCCCAACCTCCTCCACCGGGAGTGCGGATAATAATTCGCTCGCCGGCCTGCATTTGGACTGAGTTCTTCCCTCCTAGGCTGATACATCGCTCCTCCCAGCTTCCATCAGATTTCTGGACTCGTCGCACCCAAAGGTTCTGGCCGCATTCGGCATCTTCGCCTCCTTCCAGGCCGTAAGGGTGGTATACTCGACGTTCGGAGAGGATGGAGACCTGTACCGGAGTGCGGAATTCAATGTCTCGAATGACACCATCTCCGCCGCGGTGCTGACCGGCGCCCCCAGAATTAGCCCGGAGATTGAACTCTCGAAGTAGAACGGGATATCGTCGTTCGAAAACCTCCGCGTCGGTGATTCGTGTGTTGGTCATATGGGTGTGTACTCCTGAAGTACCCTCCCAGGCCGGTCCGGCTCCGCTTCCGCCGGCGATGGTTTCATAGTAACCAAAACCTTTTGTCTCAGTCTCTCCTTGTAGATTACCTCCAAACCCGAAAGTCAGGTTATTAGTGTCACCCTGAGAAGCAGCGCAAGCCTTGAAGCATTTCAGAATCACATCGGTGACTCGTTGACTCTGGGATTCAGATACAGTCAGTGATAGAGTCTAATTAGATAGGAGCAGATGGGGAAGAGAAATTTGAGGCATAACATACCGTCAGTACGTTTCCTCCTACAACCGCTGCGGACTCAGATGGCGATAAGAGACTCTTTGGCGGTAAGTGGACTTTAATCGGCTTCAGGCAGCCTTGGTTCAAAGGAATGTCGGCAGAAATCAGACATCGTAGACAGTAGATGATTGCTGAGTAGGTGACTGCTTCGGGGGCATTGATATTGCCTGTCAGGGCCAGAGTAAGTAGAGATTCGATATAGCTATCTGCCATTGGTGTCTAGTCACTCACCATAGACCTCTGGGCCCGTTCCTTCGAAATCAAACACCGCTTCGCCTTTGTCTGCGTCGATCGAGATCTTCAATTGAATCGGGGTTCCATCGTCCATGTAGTCAATAGCGCTGAGATTCCGGCCTGCGAATTTCTGACTGACCTCCTTCAAAAGGTTGCGTACACTGAGCTCTGCGTTATCCTGGATTTGATGCATGTAGAAGAGCACCACTTCCTCGCCATATTCATCAATCAGGGCATTGATCAGGTTGATTCCTTTCTTGTTGGCCGCGATCTGAGCCTTGAGGTCATTCAGGTTGTCTGCGAGACAGCGAGTTCCACTGCAGTTGGGGTACTGGGCAGGCTCTTTGTACAGGAGCTCCGTAATCCGCTGCTCGTTAAATTTGCCTTCCGAGACCAGCTTCTCACTCTTGATGGCGGCACCTTCTTGATAGAGTTCTTTTGAATGCGGTGGCATCGATCCAGGCAAAATACCGCCAATGTCAGCTACAGAAGAGAGTCAGACTAGCACTAGATGGAGCTCTGGAATTGCTTAGCGGGATTCACTCTCACCATGGTGTGCTCTCGAGGCAACATAGAAGATAATCTTGCCCTGGCTAAATGCTGGCTGGATGACTGTGATATCGGGGAGATGTGTACCGCCAAACTCTGGGTGATTCGAGACAATTACATCGCCTGGTTGAAGTCTGCCATGCCAGAGCTGAGCCTGTATCCGGACACAGGTCGACATACTTCCCAGATGGACCGGCAGATGCGGCGCATTTGCAACCAATCCTCCATCTGGATCGAACAAGGCGCACGAGTAATCGAGCCGCTCTTTGACGTTGGTACTTACACTTGTTTTTTGCAGCGCGCGGCCCATCTGTTCTGCTATGGCCATGAACCGGTGCGAAAAGACGCTTAGGAGAATCGGATCTACGACATCGGTTCTGATTTGGGGAGCACTCGCGTCGGAGTCTCCGATGTTGATAACGACGTGAGTCTTGGTGAGAAGTGCAGAGGCTCCAGGGGTCACCACAATGGTTTGGGTCTCATCGGCAAGTATCGCTGGTCCTTTCACACGGTCGTTGATCTGCAAGTCGTCGAGTTTATAGATTGGTGTTTCATGCCGTCCGCCTTCAAAGTATACCTGAGATGTTCGATATTCCTTTCCAACCACATCCTTGGGTCTAGACTCCTGAAGTTGTTGATCAACCGTCTTCTCAGAAGCCTTGAAACTCTTCCCAATACCTCTCACCCGCACATCATCCACGATTATGTCACGATCGGGCAGGGTGAAACCAAACTCTTGCTCGTGCTGTTGGATAAATGCTTTGCCAAAGGCCCACTCATCGCCGCCAAAGACATCCTTTGCGTCTTCTTTGGTAGGCTTCAAGATCATAAGTGCTGATTCCGTTCCCCGGTATCGCATATTCAAGTATTCTTCAAAGATGATAGATTCATCATTGAAGCCTTGGTCTTGCAATCTTTTTGTAGACCTCTTCTTCAGCTCGTCTAGTCTCCGTGCAAGCTCCTGGCGCACCCCCGACCCATCGCTCCATGTTTTAGATTCAGGCTCCTGGGTTTCATCGACCACGTCGGCCAGCGCCATTCCGTACGCAGAAAGTACGGATGAATATCGATGGATTAGGATTTGGCGAATGCCCAGACTTTCAGCGATGGCGACTGCATGCTGTCCACCAGCACCTCCAAAGGTTGCAAGCCGATGCTTCGAAGTATCATGACCCTTTGCTTCGGTTAGGGATCGAATAGGCCGGGTCATCGTCTCATTAGCGACCTTGATAAATCCGAATGCAACCTCATCGGGTGTCATTTCTTTGTTTTGGTCTCCTTGAGCTAACTCTTGATTGATCTCCTTCGTCAATTGCTCAAACAAACGCCGGCTGGTCTCTTCATCCAGGCCTTGGTTCTCATGCGGACCGAAAATCTTGGGGAAGAAGTCAGGGACTAGTCGGCCGAGGAACAAGTTGGCATCTGTGACAGTCAACGGGCCATCCTTGCGATAGCACGCAGGTCCCGGGTGAGCTCCTGCTGACTCGGGACCTACAACGAACAGCCCATTGCGGAAAAATAGCCTGGAGCCACCACCGGCGGCTACCGTGTTGATGTCTAACTGAGGGGATTGAATGGTCACTCCAGCCGTGGTTGTTTCAAAGACATGTTCGTATCGACCTGATCCATATCGGCTCACATCGGTGCTGGTTCCACCCATATCAAACCCTATCACGGGAATTTTGGAAACGGGGTCATATGAAGTCAACGCATATCCGACCACCCCACCAGCGGGACCGGACAGGATGGCTCGCAGGCCGGAAAATTGATCGAAGTCGACCAAGCCGCCATCAGATTGCATAAATTCACAGCGTGCGCCCCGAGAGCCTTGCTCGTTTTTAACACTCTCGCTTCCAAGGCCACTATTGAACCCTGCTTGGAAGCCTGAAATGTACCTCTTGATAGTCGGAGTCAAATACGCGTCTGCACAGGCTGAAGTGGCTCTTGGGACAAGCTTGATCATCGGCATAAGCTGGTGGCTTAGGCTCACATGGTGAAATCCAATCTCTGCAGCTAGTCGACCGACTAATGCCTCGTGGTCGGGGAACGTGTATCCGTGCATTAGACATACTGCTATACTCCGAATGCCGCGATCGTATACCTGCTGCAGCTGTGATCTCACCGTTTCTTCGACGGGGCGCTTGAGGATGCGAACAGCCTCGGATGAGAGTCCCCGAACAACCTGTGCATCAGACTGAGACTGGTCTCGTGGAGCCGTGGTCGTCACATTGCGCTGTGGATCCTCTGCATAGTCCTCCAGAGTGACCCGCTCATCAACCTCCACCACCTCTTCATACAGCACGTCGGGCCGCTTAATGGCAAGGTCAAATATGCGAGGACGGGATTGGTTTCCAATCTGCAGGCAGTCACGGAAGCCCTTGCTAACGACGAGAGCGATCTTCTCTCCTTTGCGCTCAAGTAGGGCGTTTGTTGCGACGGTTGTCCCCATGCGGATGCTGTGGATCAGCGAGGTATCGATGGCTTCTCCTCGTGGGATTTCACGGTCGGTGACTTTGGACAGAATGCGGCGTATTCCTTCAAGGGGAGCATCTTCATAATTGTTCGGATCTTCCGAGAGCAGTTTAATCACTATGTCATCTTCCAAACGTCCCGTGCCGGGATTGCCCACGCAGTCGGTGAACGTGCCGCCTCTCTAGACTCGAGTCAGTCTCCATTTTTTTTAGATAAACTGAAGTCAGAGCAAGTAAAGACGCATACATCGATCGCAATGCTGATTCCTTTCCCTTTAGGCTGATCCATGTTGGTTGGTTTGAATGCAGATCTGCTGGGTGGTTGGTGAGATACAACTACAGTACAAAACAGCCTTTCCCCGCACGATGCGTGCCCTACGTCATTCGAGGGGAAGTTGACATAAACAGAACCGGATAGTTAACTAGTTAACTATCAAGAAACTAGTTAACTATCAAGAAGATCAATAGAATTATACTATCGTGCCATTTAGGCAAACCTGACAAGTGAAAAAAAAGGGAGGTGCATCAGGCTGAACTTATTATGGAGAGAGCTACAGATTGCCCCCATCTTCCCCACTACTCCGTGTATTACCTACCACTTTTAGGCGCTCCGATAGAAAGACGCCGCATGTGTGATGATATACTTCGACCCGTAGAGCCGGATACCATGTCCCACCAGACTTTCCCTTTCCGTCACTACAAGGACCCCACACTCATACAACTCTACAGAGAATGAATCGAGGCAAGGGCAGCGACTTCCGAGGATTCCGGCCGATCGTACAGGGCGGGGATGGGTAAAAGGAGAATCGTTTTTGGAATTAAATCTGCGAATAAGATGGGCGGTGGGCGGGGTTTATCGTGGAAAACGCAGGGACGAGGGAGAGAGAGACGTGGGCGAGAACTTAGACACGATCGCTCGACGTTCGTTTTCGGCGGAGTCCGAGCTGCTGACCAGGATAAATACCAAAGACCCACGGAAAGAAGATCAAATCAAGGGAGGAAACCCGTTCGTGGTGGAACCTCCGCCAGTGAGAAAGAACAATAAGAGAACCGCGCAAAATCGAAGCTTGCCAGGTGGGTTGCACTAGGAAAGGGATGGGAGAGGAAGGAAGAAAAGAAGGGAAGAAGACCAGCGAATGAAAACCCAATCAACCAGAAAGTCATGAGAGAAAAATGCCATGGAGTGTGACAAGGCTAGCACCGAGTCATCTTCAAAAACGCCACGTAAGACCTCGAGATGCGTAGCCTGTCTCCAAGGGGCGTGGTCAGTAGCAGGCCATATTCAGCCCGCGAGCTGCAATCTGATCGACGCCGTTTCACAACCCTCGAGCATGGCTTGGAGACAAGACGACCGCATAGAGCTGATCTACTCAGCAGTATCAAGCTCATCATGAGCAGAGGGAACGGGGTCCAGGGGTACTGATCAATTTTATCAGCAAACCGGCAGTCAACCAAAAGGGAGTTTATCACAAACCTTTCCTATCATCACCGTTCGGGACAGCCTCACGCTCCTCCTCACGGCGCTCGCGATCATCCTCGCGTCTCTCACGGTCTTCCTTGACATCACGCTCCCGGTCCTCAGGGCTACGGGAACGGTCGCGAGAACGCTCACGATCACGATCACGGCGATCATCGCGGTCACGACGGTCATCACGGTCGCGGTCGCGGCGCTCATCACGGTCACGGTCTGCACGATCGTGATCCCGTTCGTACCGGTCGTCCCGTCTCGGAGAGTAATCTCCACGGCTGCGACGAGGGGAGGGAGAACGGCCACGGCGAGGGGGGTACGGTCACGACGGCGGTCACGGCCGGAATCGAATCGCCAGGAGGCAGAAGGAGGAGTACGAGCCCACTGAATATGAGATTTAGATATGGATCCGACGGGGGGTACAAACTTCACGGTCAATGTGAAGACTCACCTCAATCTTCAGGAGGTCATCGCGTCCAATGCGCTTGTTGTGCATCTCATGGTACGCATCGTCGGCATCGCGGCGGCTCTCATACTCAACAAAGGCAAACCTGTTGAACTAGTCAGGGACGTCCAAGCTGGAGGGGAAGCATGAGTATCGCTTAAGATTCTAGTAAACTTACAGTCGGCTGGAAGGAGTACGGGGCGCAGGAATGTCGCAACGAACAAGGCGACCATAGCTAGTTCGGGAGTCAGTACAGTGATCCTCATACATTAATATGAGGTTATAATAACAAATGACCACATGACCAATGAGCACAATGGAATTAACCAGCACCTGGGAAAAGAGAAGGAGGGGGCTTTCGGAGGCGGACTTGGTGGGAAGAGCTTCACGGTCACCAAGTAGGACCCAGTTCAGGGATGGACCGGTGATCATCGTGCCGTCGACGCGTAGGAGGAGGGAGGAGGAGGGTGATCGCAGGTCCGAGAGCTCAAGAGCTTGAAGGTGTAGGCGTCACGTACCGTTCGAATTCGTAGGCAAGATCACGGGCTCGAGTGCCATGGCCGAAGCCAGTGACATAGAGGGTGGTTCCCGATCGAGACATGGCGGATGGAAATCCGGGGGATGGTAGACGGGGGGGATAGATGGCGAGGTTGAAGAAGGAAAGGTATCCGCGCTAGTGGTTCAATTCAGGAATTGGAGATTTGAAGGGGGCGCTAACTCGTACGGAGAGCGATAGCGACCACTTACGCCAAGCAACAAGGAAAACCTTACGGTATGGTATATACTATGTATTCCAAGTTACACTCTCCTGTCTATAGGTGCAGTATTAATAGTATCACCTGTAATCATACTAAATAGGGTTGGCATTGGATTATTATTATAGACTTCCGATATTTCCCTAGGCGCGTGCGATTTAACTCTATATGGTTTATCATTTTACCGTGTTAATGTAATCGTCGCCCCCACTCTAGGCCGTTCAGAGCCTGACATACCAGATATCTTCATATATTAATATGAGGTTTATGATATAGGCCCTCTATTAATATAAATATAGAGAGAAACTATCAACAGGAAAACTACAATTATTCACTACCTAACCTAAATGAATACTATATATAGATATATAACTACTTCATGACATCTACACGGTATATACTCTACCTTGTAATAATGGTATTATACCCCACAGTTACCGTACCAGCGCTGGCCTCGGGAGGTACCGTGAGCATGTCGGCAGTCGGGATGATGTTTTCCTCTAGCTTCTCCTTCTCTTATCGACATCACCTCCACTCCGCTATTCCACTTCATTGCCACGGTCAACTCGTCCCCCCGTTTGCAGTCACTAAGCAGCAAGCTCAATCTTTACCACCGTGTGACAGTTTGGCCCAATCTCCGCTCCTCCTCCTCCCTTTCCCTTGGCTCGACGTTCGACATCCGACTTTCAATCCCGTACCCCATCTCCACATATTTCTCTGCCTCCCTGACTTCCGAGGGGGAGAGTACCCAGAAGTACCGCCGGGGCTGAATCTTGAATGATGGATCAGTAGAGCCGGACCGAGCGACGACATTCGACTCCCCTTCCATGGCCAGCACGACACATCTTGCCCCGATCCCCTTTACATTTCTCGTCCTCTCCTCAGTTCATCCTCACCACTCGTCTGGCCCCCTCTTCCTCCACCGCTGTCCGTCGCATTTTCTCCAAGAATAAGGAACCAAGAGCGTATGTGAGGAGCGTCACCTTACACTGCTAGTCTTCCTCCACACCCGGACACACCCCAAGATATCAAGCGTATGTGGCCAAGATGAGCCTCAATCGCCAGGACGCAACGCAGAAGAATGAGGCGGATGGGACAGCAAGGCCTACTATGCAAGGCTTGCAATTGCCTTCATCCGGCGCTCCAGCCAAGGTTGGTTCAAATGCCAGATGACTCTCAAAGGTTTACTCCTCATAGCTCATCTGCTCACTCATCCATCACTAGGATTCGATCTCTGCACCGCCCTCCATGCTACGCCGGACACAAACTAGGCTGGCCGACCCGGTCGTGGCTGCATTCATGGCCGGAGGCGTTGCCGGTGCCGTTTCAAGAACGATTGTATCCCCTCTGGAACGATTGAAAATCCTACTCCAGATCCAAAGTGTCGGTAGAGATGAATACAAGCTGTCGATATGGAAAGCTCTCAAGAAGATGAAACGAGAGGAAGGCTGGCGAGGCTTTATGCGCGGTAACGGAACCAATTGTATCCGCATTATCCCCTACTCTGCGGTGCAATTTGGGAGTTACAATTTCTATAAGAAAGTAAGTTCGCCCGGGGAAAATATAGTCGATGCGGAGCCTATCTATGCGATATTCCTAGTGAGGCTCGAGGATATTGAGGAACTGCTGGGCTAACATGGTCGATTCTTAGTTTGCTGAAACTCCCGAGGGTGAGATGACACCAACACGTCGTCTTATTTGCGGAGGTATCGCGGGCATCACGTCTGTCACGGTCACGTACCCGCTGGATATCGTCCGTACTCGACTTTCCATCCAATCGGCATCCTTTGCGGACCTGGGGGCCCGAGATCCATCCCAAAAGCTACCCGGCATGTTCACGACTATGGTGACGATATACAAAACCGAAGGCGGTATGGTTGGCCTCTATCGTGGAATCGTCCCCACGGTTGCTGGTGTTGCTCCATACGTAAGTTTCCAGCTTTTTACCCTCCTTCCCTCGACGCTCGGTCACTAATGTACCTCAGGTCGGGCTCAATTTCATGACCTATGAATCGGTCCGCAAATACTTGACTCCCGAGGGAGACAAGAACCCTAATCCTTGGCGAAAGCTGCTTGCTGGTGCCATTTCTGGGGCCGTGGCGCAAACCTGCACATATCCCTTGTATGACTTTCCCATCCTGCTGATGATATTGAAATCATTCGAATTGATTGAACTGACTTTGACTGGAATTCTAGTGACGTGCTACGGCGACGCTTCCAAATCAATACAATGTCCGGTATGGGCTACCAATATAAATCCATCTGGGATGCAGTGCGGGTCATCGTGGCCGAAGAGGGACCACGTGGACTATTCAAGGGCATTGGACCAAATCTACTCAAGGTTGCACCCAGTATGGCCAGTAGCTGGCTCAGTTTCGAGTTGACGAGAGACTTCCTCATCAGCCTGAATGATAGAGAATAGTTGCAATATACCTAGACCGTCCTTTTTTCTCGGATGTTCTCAAACGTCAAATCAAGCTGCTACTGCTGCTGCTTCCTTCGACCTTTTGGTCGGAACAACTTTTAGATCTTGAATGGTGAAATTATCCCCGTAGTGCTGGCGAAGTTAGAAAAAAAAAATCGACTATAGGCGGTTAACTATATTCTCTTATCTCCTATTTGTCAAACATTCTTTTGTCCTAACGCTGCCTTGCCTGTGGGGGTCAAGTTCTGATCCTTATTACCTTGATAATATAGGCGTAGTATGCCCTAGAAAATTACATTAATGGGAATCGCCTGTACGGAAGTCTAGCTAGTCATACCTGTGGGGACTAACCAGGAAGTACGTGCATATAGGTCTGGATTGTGGTAGCTCACAAGGAACAGCCAGTACAGTAGTCTACTACATATGACTTGGGACTCTAGAACCATAGAAGGCGCACTAACGGACTAACGTAATCTAGGGGGCTCCACTCCGCCTATATTTTAAAAGACATATGTAGATTTACATCGATCAGGGGATCCAGTCAGTAGTACCTGTCCTTCATCGCAAAGACTTCCTCTGATAGGAATTTGAACCATGGTAAATGGCCAGCTTAAGTACCTATAGTACTGGAGTCATACAGGTAACAAATGTGCTAGTCTTTTGGATACTCTAAGTGTTAGTGCCGAAATGCCAAGACACCAGATGTTCGTTGAGAGGTTAGCCGCGCTTGATTACCTAAGGTCGCCCCCCGAGTTGTCCATTCACGGGTTCCACATCATGTGACTCATTTTATCACCATATTAGGACTAGCGTAGGGCTCAACCCACACACACCCGCGCAGCCGAAAGTTGAAGACCAAAAACCTCCTGCACTTTTCATACGGGTGCGACAGCAAGCTAACTCCCAGGTGTTCAATTCATATCAGCAGCCATGGGTATGTCCAACCACTCCAACCTCATCGCCTTGATCATTCTCTGTCTAAGAGAGATATCCGCTTCCTCTCTCCCCTCTCGATTCCATCCCTGAGACTAACTCATGTCCGAAATCTTCTAGGTATCGACCTGGACCGTCACCATGTGCGCAGCAGCCACCGCAAGGCGCCCAAGAGCGAGAACGTTTACTTGCAGGTGCTGGTGAAGTTGTACCGCTTCCTTGCTCGTATGAATCCCTTCCTCTTCCTTTCCAGAATCCGAATTTCGTGCGTCGCAGCAGAAGAAGGCGAAACGACGAATTTTTTTCCAACGTGAACCGGAACCGAGAAACTGATTTGGGATATCTCTCTTACAGGCCGCACGGAGTCCAACTTCAACAAGGCCGTTCTCCGCCGCCTCTTCATGTCGCGCATCAACCGCCCCCCGGTTTCCCTTTCCCGCATCGCCTCGAACATCAACGAGTCGCAGAAGGGCAAGACCGTGGTCGTTATCGGCACCATCACCGATGACAACCGCCTCCTGAACATCCCCAAGCTGTCCGTCGCTGCTCTGCGCTTCACCGCCACTGCTCGCGCCCGTATCGAGAAGGCCGGTGGTGAGACCCTCACCCTGGATCAGCTTGCTCTGCGTGCCCCCACCGGTGCCAACACCCTGCTCCTCCGTGGCCCCAAGAACGCCCGTGAGGCCGTCAAGCACTTCGGCTTCGGTCCCCACTCTCACAAGGTTCGATTTGCATTCTATCCGTTGAAATCCATTTTGAATACGTCTACCTTGCCTCCAGCTGCTAACCTACTTGTGAATTTTAACAGAAGCCCTACATTGCCAGCAAGGGCCGGAAGTTCGAGCGTGCCCGTGGTCGCAGACGCTCCAAGGGTTTCAAGGTCTAAAAAGACTTTGTGTGATGATTGTGGGACGGACGTGAACCCATCGGTGCAAGGACGCATATTCCTGATCGCACTGAATCCTCGGGTGTTTATCTCTCGGAGTCTGGCTGGAGACCTCTATTCGATGTACCTAAAGTGGCGAAATGTCTTTGGTTGGATTGAGGGATCAGAGTGTGTGGATGGAAGAGGGCAAAAGAAAAATGCATCCGGCTTAGTCCTCATCCTTTCTTACGATTGCGAAATGTTTCAACAAAAAAAATACGTTTGAATTCTTTTCTTCTTCACCTGGGAGTTCTGCTAAGGGAATATCCCAAAGGTTTAGTTTACTATGTACACTTTTTTATCCTCATTCGCTGATAGGCAGGCTTGTATGAAGATATTTCCGACCGCCTGGCCCATCATGATAATCCCCCGCACCATGTCCATTGCCTCGAATCAGGTATTTATAGATGGTCAGACCTTCCAGGCCTACGGGTCCTCGAGAGTGGATTTTGTTGGTGCTGATGCCGACTTCGGTGCCAAAGCCAAATCTCATTCCATCCGCAAACCGTGACGACGCATTCCAAAACACACCCGCGCTATCAATACCGTTCATGAATAAATTTGCTAGCTCGCGTGACTCGGTCAGGATGATATCGGTGTGTTTGGATGAATGCGTGTTGATGTGCGCAACGGCAGCCTCCACGGCTGATTCTGGAGAACCGCTTTCTGGGATGGTCTTCACGGCCAGCACCAGATCGAGGAACTCGGTATCGTAGTCGGCCTCGGTAGCCGATGAGACTTGAGCCAATTGATCGGCCTTAAGTGTCTTCGCAAGGACCGCCTTGGAGGCCGGGTCACAGCGAAGAGAAACACCCTTGTTGAGGAGGGCCGTTGCGATTGCTGGGAAAACGGTCTCGAGGACCTTCTCGTTGACCAGAAGAGACTCGAGCGCATTGCAGGCCGCCGGGTAGTCCGTTTTGGAGTCCACGACGACCTTCACAGCGGTGTCGATCTTAGCATCCGAGTGTATGTAGGCCGAGCAGAGACCATCGGCGTGGCCGAGTACTGGAATCTTGGTGTTTTCCTTCACAAAGCGAACTAATTCGTTGGATCCACGGGGAATGACAAGGTCAATGAATGAGTCCTGGGCCAGTAGGGAGGAAACGGCATCACGGGTCTTGACCAGTTGAACCGAGGATACGGGCACTTGAGAGCCGGCAATGGCTTCGGAGACCACATTTGCGATGGCAACGAAGGATTCCATGGATTCCTTTCCACCTATCGAGATACGAATGTCAGTTTCAGGGCGGTTCCCAAAGAAAAGAGGATAGATTGGGAGTTCCCATACCCTTCAAAATCGCAGCGTTGCCCGACTTGATGGCTAGCGCAGCAATGTTTGCAATGACCTCCGGACGAGCCTCGAAAATAATCAAAAGAACACCAATAGGGCAGCTGACTCGCTCCAGAGTCAACCCCTCATCCAATAGAGTCCGTAGTGTCACTTTGCCAACTATGATTCCGATCTTCGAGTTAGCCTATGTTTTATCACTTGATTACAATCGTAGAGGAGTCAAGACGGGAGCACACCTGGATCCTCCAAGTCCCGAACGTTCAGAATCCCCTGGAGCATGTCTTCATATTTTCCGGGTCGTGAGAGATCAAGTCGTTTCAGCACACTGTGATTGAGGGTGCCATCGTTAGCGGCCCTCGTAGCGGCCTCAACGTCTCGGGCATTCGCTGCCAAGATAGTATCGCGGTTCCTATCCAAGGCTTGGTGAAGGGCAGTCAATGCATCATTTCGGGCTCTGTTCGAGAGAGTGGCGAGGTGACGAGAAGCAATCGATGCGCTGCGAGCCACGTCCACGGCGGCTGAATCGGTTAACGACATTGCTTCGTTTCGATCTCGGACCTAAAAGATCTCAGTTTGAAGCTGCGGCCAGTCTTCCCTGGGGGAATAAGGTGGGCAATGGATTATTGAAGGAGAAATAGGTCAGGTAATTCGAGTAGAAGGCGAGGGAGAACTCACGGTATGTGGGGAAGGTGAGTCAAGGACCTAAGAGTTAGTTACTCTCTCGGCGGGCAATTATGGAGGGGCTTCCCTTACTTTTTTTTCTTTCGGAGTAATTACGATACTCCGTACGGAGGACTTGCAGTGTAACTAGTGTATTTAATTAGTGTAATTAGCGTAATTAGCGTAATTAGTGGGGGGCTCAACTCCGCTATCGGCTTATCTCCTTATCGGCTTATCGGCTTATCGGACCTCTCCACCGCTCTCTCTTCTTGCGGAGCTCTCTCCAACTGCCAAACTGCTGTCACTAACTCACCAACTACTCGGTGCCACGACAACAATAACAACCAACCCCTCCGTGTTCTTGAGCCATCTTGTGTATGGGGTTCTGGACCTAAACGGTCCCTTGGACCTTTGAGAAGTCTTGTTTTTACTACTATTCTACCTCCATCTCTATTTCTGCCGCCTCTCAAGCCCCCCCACCCCCAACACACACTTTCCCATCATTCATCCTCAGCCGCCACGCATCTGTCCCCACCTCTGACCCTGCTCATCTTGGTTTCCATATCGCCTTCTTTACAGGTTCTGAAACTGTCCTGCGATTGAAGCTTTCACCTTTTCAAGATGGAGGTCGTCGAGGGGCTCATGACCCAGTCCGCCCAGCTGCGTGAAGCCAGGAATCTGTCCGACCAAAGCTATGACCGCCAGATTCGTGAGAATGTCTCCTCTTTGAGACGTGTCCTGTCTACCAAGGCTCTTGGTGCATTTGCCAGCAATGACTCCCTCCTTGACGTGAGCAGTGATCTCTTCCTCCAACATCAATGTTGATGGCAAGGAACTAATCAGTCTCCCTTTACCAGCATTTCGACCCAGTTGCGGACTCTCTCGTCTATCTGTTTCTTCTTCGCGCTCAAACTCAAGCTTTTCAAGAAGAGTTTCGTGAAAACGTGCCAGCGGCCTTGCTTCCTCCCGGAAACCTCTGGTCGAGAATCGTCTCGTACCTGAGAACTTTCGATCCCGTCCAAGTCAGATACGCAGGCCAAGAGTGGCGCCAGTTGGTTGAACTTGTTGCACAGGCTTCACAAGTAGTCTCCAAGGCACGATTACCCATTATCCCAACTCTGCTCCAATGTCAACATTCTGACCGTTTTTAGCCTATCCTAGCCGTGCGGTTGGTCAGAGATGCCATGTTGCGGCTGGATCCTTCATGTGCTGTCTTTACGTCGACACACCTACTTCTTGCCCGCCTCTGCTTGCGGGCGAGAGCATACACCCATGCGTTGCCCGTACTTGACAGACATGTCTGCCACTTCCCTACCTCGACTCCCCGCGCCACGTCTGGCTTTTCCGTGTTGCCTTGTGCAGCGCACGACTCAAGTTTGTCTTTTATCACCGATACCTCTGGACTATCATCCAAGTTGACCTACAAGGACTATCTACAATATTTCCTTTGTGGTGGAATGATCTATATGGCACTGAAGCAGTGGTGCAAGGCAGCTCATTTTCTCGAGGTTGTTATTTCCATGCCAACGGTGGGTCCCATCAGCATGATCATGGTGGAGGCTTACAAGAAGTGGATATTGGTGACATTGTTAGAGAAGGGCAAGGTGAGTTACTTATGTCGCGGGCTAGGCCCACCCTGACTAGTGCGTTCTGATGCTAAAATATTCCGGTACTAGTTATCCTCGCCTTCTAACCTGATTGCTCCACATGTTGTCAAGCTGTACCAGTCGCTGGCTAAGCCTTACGTCAATCTGGCCCACAGTTTCTCCAGAGGTGACTTGGCGCATTTGGAGGCAGAGATCGACGCAGCTCGGGAGATTTGGTGTACTGTATGTCGACCAGGGGATCTAGAGACTCCACCGTTTTAATTGCACTAATTCACATTCTTTTAGGATAACAACATGGGCCTTGTTTCTCAGGTCCTCGGTGCCTACACCAAGCATACTGTTATGGGTATCAAGCAGACATTTGCGGCCCTGACAGTTAAGGAGCTTTCAGAACAGGCATCACCCATGCGAATGAATGACGAAGCTACAGAGTCAGTCATTGCGTCTTTCATCATGTCTGGTGCTTTGAAGGCCACCTTGGTGCAAAACTCAACCCGGGGCAGCCCAACCATGCTTCGGTTTTCGGAAATCCATTCTGCTCCACGGCTCTCAGACGAGAGTAAGGCACAGTCTCGCCTTGTACGGGAAAGTCAGTCTCTTGGGTCCCTAATGAATGGTCTTGATGAAATTGGCTATCATATGGGACTAAGCAACGAATTTATTGATGCTGTGCAGAGAGGCCAGACTTGGGCCGGTGTGGGCGATGTCAATTCTGGAATGAGTGAAGACGTTGGACTCGAGATAGAAGAGGATCTTATGGGTGAGGTATCTTAACCATAAAGTTTAGCTTGATCATTAAAGAGCTTTCATTCGGGTTCGATATCTACCTTCTTGATCACACAGGCCAAGATATGTTAAATCATAACTGGCAGGATTCAAGTTCAGCCACTGAATACACTACAATGTAGTATTAAAACCAGAGCAGCTTCAAACGAGTTAAGTTTGATGATCACAAAACTTTTCACTGTGGAAGCAAGCTTCAGCAAAAGCAAGACTAGGCCTTGAAATACAAGCATGATAGCTAGTATTTCCAGCCCATAGTATTACCCTCCTAGTCAGTTTGTGCCCACAAATTCTGCGCCGGAGTTTTAACAAGGTCCCACGCAGGTAGCCAAGCCTCAATCCAGGTTTGGTCCTTCTTCCCGGCTGAATTTATTTATGAAATCCAACTCAGAATCGATAAGCAACGGATTAGAGCATTGAGGATAGCCAAGAATAGGGGACTCTTTGCTGTGATGAACTCATAAAGTCTCCGTCATGTAATTCCAAACCAAATGACAGGGAGATAGATATAGGGCTTGGCCAGATACCAATAGTAGAGGAGATATCCCTATATTGATCAACAAAGTCCATGAATATTCAGGATGCGCTAAGTTTAATTAGCTTACTTGAAAGTTTTTTCGAAGATTACTCGTATTGTTAGCGCGCTCGTATAGCGCAGATTCTAATATTCAGTCGCTTGTCGAGGGAAAGCCCCAGGACTCTCTCCTATACAACGAAGAGAAGAAAGAAACTCGCCTAGCACAATGCCCGAGGGCTCTTGCACCGACACCTTAGGTCCTAGCAACTTCGGCGTAATTCTCGAAACCATTGGGTGCTTACTAAGAGTGTTATACACGTCGAGCTCATCAGGCTGAAAGGTCGGATCGACGCGAGTTAGAATCCTCGTACTCCGTCCCAACATGGGGAATCTGCAGATAAACCCGCAAAATGCTTCGCTTATGCTTCTCTCCCTCGGGCTGAAGTTGGCCTTTACACCGCGCATTTTCAAGCTGGTATAGCTGTGTTAAGCCTTGGGTATCTGCCCCTCCGTCGGGAAGTCGTCGTGGTCGAGGTGTGAGTGGTGTTGGCATAAAGCTATGGCTGAAAATAGAGCAGTGATTCGTATTATGCCCACTCTCGCAACCGTTCAAACCCAATTTCTAAGGAATAAATCTGGTAGAACTTTGTTGATAGCCACCTACAACTGCTGGCAACACACTTTCTGTCTAGATTATCGCGATTCAATGCAATTACTTCCCCGTACTAGATCATGGTCCCTGAACAATGATGATAAATACTTATCTACACCTACTGATAGATAATATTCGCGCTCAAAATTTGCTAGATCAAGAAATTTTTGATTATTTGAACTTGGAGAATACCAATATGTTTATTCATAGTAACACCGAACAGTTATATCGATAACTTTGATACTTCTTGGGGCGCCTAAGGTAGACGATAGGCGCTAATTACTCAAACCCAATTTTCTAAGGCAGAAAGTCCGGCAGAATTCACATAACCTACAGAAGATAGAAGACAAGAGAAAAGACAAGAGAAAAGACAAGGGAAAAGACAAGGGAAAAGACAAGGGAAAAGACAAGAGAAAAGACAAGAGAAAAGACAAGAGAAAAGACAAGAGAAAAGACAAGAGAAAAGACAAGAGAAAAGACAAGAGAAAAGACAAGAGAAAAGACAAGAGAAAAGACAAGAGAAAAGACAAGAGAAAAGACAAGAGAAAAGACAAGAGAAAAGACAAGAGAAAAGACAAGAGAAAAGACAAGAGAAAAGACAAGAGAAAAGACAAGAGAAAAGACAAGAGAAAAGACAAGAGAAAAGACAAGAGAAAAGACAAGAGAAAAGATAAGAGAAAAGACAAGAGAAAAGACAAGAGAAAAGACAAGAGAAAAGACAAGAGAAAAGACAAGAGAAAAGACAAGAGAAAAGACAAGAGAAAAGACAAGAGAAAAGACAAGAGAAAAGAGAAGGAAGGGGATAGTTAAATCGGTACTATAGTAATAGCGTCGCCCTGGCCTAAAGAAGGTATTAGGGCAAAGGCGGCTATGAGAGCGGTCGATAAGCTAACTAATTATGGGTTTTGAGTAACTGGCGTTTATCGTCCGCCCTAGGTCGCCGATAATATCTTTTTACTAACAGGCCCCCTTTAAATTATCCCCTCTTAAATTAGCCTGGTCGTAAGTCCTTAGACCAAAAGTACGAGATGCTCCTTATCCTGGTTCAGGTAGGAGTCTAGATTAGTCGTCGAGCGGAAACGCTAGGTGAAGATTCTTACCAAGTCCCTCGTGAAGGTAATTATATCTTAAGAGCCTGGCTGTCATCTTATTCTCTCTAAGTGTTAAGTCATATAGCATAGTCAAGGAGTAGAAAGAACTCGTGTGGCTGATATGCTTATTCACCCTATATTTCACCACCTACACCTAACCTGATATCACCTACCTTCCTAAGGTGGTAGTGAAGACACGAACCCTTTGGTTCTTCGCCAAAGCACCCGGTGTTAACGGCCAGCAGAGTTTCCTCTTATGTATTCTATCCGAAGGAGTCAAAACATCACATCAAGCCAGCCTGCGTGGGCTTATACTGCTGCTCCCGTACGATGTTGTCTATTTATCGTTTCTAGACTTTAAGCTCCCACGGCGAAGTCACCCACGCCATATTGGGTAAGTGATCGGCCCGATCCAAATTGAAGTGTCTTGAAACAGATGAAGCTCGATTTGGTAAACTTTTCGCCCCCATCTATCTTGGCCATCGGGACTACCCCGCTACACAGCCGAGGCTGTCTGACGAAATCTGACGACGTCTGACAAATTTTAAGAGTCGGTCAAGATTCTCTGTGTCCTTCTCTTCTCTACTTCAACACGTATCCTGCTGTCACTTTCACTGAATGTGTAGCCGTGAAATTATCCTCTTCAGCCTATGAATCCCAAGTTGTGTTGGTCCACCCTCATCCCACTCAAATAATGCCGTCCACTCTGCAAGGCCAACCATTAGAGCTGGATGCAGTCATTGCCGGGGCAGGGTTCTCCGGGATCTACATTCTTCATCGTCTCAGGGATGAATTAAAATTAAACGTCAAAATCCTCGAAGCTGGCCCCGATATAGGTGGGACATGGTATTGGAACACCTACCCCGGGGCTCGCGTGGATTGTCCCGCCCCGGTATATGCATTTGGGATAGAAGAAGTCTGGAAGAACTGGACTTGGTCAGAGTTGTACCCAGAGCAGAAAGAGTTGGGCGCTTATTTCCGCCACGTCGACGACGTGCTTTCGGTGAGGAAGGACTGCATTTTCAACGCGCGGATCACTGCGGGCCATTTCAATCCTATCGATGGAAAGTGGACGGTGCAGACCGAAAACGGCATCACGGTCGTTGCAAAGTACTTTGTTCCGGCAATCGGCTTCACAGCCCAGCAGTACGTACCCGATTGGAAAGGCTTAGAGGATTTCCAGGGCACCATTCACCATACCTCGACCTGGCCGCAGGAGCCTGTCGATGTTCGAGGCAAGCGCGTCGCGGTCATCGGCACCGGATCGACGGGACTACAGATTACCCAGGAATGGGCCAAGGACGCTGCTGAGACCTTTGTCTTCCAGCGAACCCCGAATCTCGCCCTGCCTATGTGCCAGCAGAAGCTGGACGAACATAGCCAAAGGCAGATGCGAGATGAGACGGCCGATCTCTTCGACCGTTCCAGGAAGACCTCGGGCGGTTTGCCATATGAATCGCCGGCAAGGAAATTCGCTGAGTTCTCCCCGGATGAGATTGCCAAAATCTTGGAAGGGCTTTATGAGAGCGGAGGCTTTCGATATTGGGCAGGAGGGTACATCGACCTTCTTCTGAACCCCGAGGGAAACCGCGCGGCGTATGACTACTGGGCCAAGCGAACCCGCGAGCGCATCCACGACCCGGTCAAACGCGACTTGTTGGCACCTCTAGAGCCACCCCATCCATTTGGTACTAAGCGTCCCTCGCTGGAACAGGACTACTACGAGCAGTTCAATAAGCCTAATGTCCACCTCGTCAACACAAAGGCGTATCCAATCGTGCAGCTAACACCGCAAGGTATCATGACCGACGATGGCAATATATACGAGGTGGACATTATCGCTCTTGCAACAGGCTTTGACGCGACGACCGGCGGTCTAGCCAAAATGGGCATCCGAGACGTGAATGGCGTGGAACTGGGTGAGCGCTGGCGAGACGGGGTCTTGAGCTTCCAGGGCCTTATGGTGCCAGGCTTTCCTAACATGTTCCTACCGTACTCTATCCATGCTCCGACCCCATTCTCGAACGGCCCGGTGGGAATTGAGTTCCAAGCAGACTTCATTCGGGATATTATAAAGAAGATAGAGGGAGAGAAAATCAAATTTATCGACCCGCGTCCCGAAGCGGCTCAAGCATGGAAGACTGAGATGGAATTCATCGCCAATATGACGCTATTTCCGAAGACGAAGTCGTGGTACATGGGGGCTAATATCCCAGGCAAAAAGGCAGAGTTACTCTACTATTTTGGTGGAATACCGCGCTATCGAGAGAGGTGTGTAGAGGCTTTTAATGTGTTCTCGGAGACTTTTATACTATGCTAGACCTAGATAACTTCCAGGAATCGATTAAACAATATCAACTAGTTATATTAGATCGTACTCAGAGCACTACGAAAACATTTCGTGACACCAGAACGCTAAGCCTAATCGGGACCATGCCTTCTTATAAGTATATAATCGTGTCTAATAACTAAGCTTAAACCTATGACTAAATTCTGAATCATCTTATTGGTTATGCTTCAGTGGATAAATCGAGAGATCTTGCTAGGGCTCTCTGAACAGATAACTAGAAAGACGGTTAGAATTAGAAAAAATCATCAATCAAATTTCATAGACCTAATCCTAATTCTATCATATATACTTAGGGGGACCGTGTTGGCACTACATAAGAATACTGGCCGCACTACGTGGTGCCTGATATCTGCCTGAATTGGCCTGGTTTCTGCTAAGGCCATCACTGTCACGCCTTGCAAATGCGATTCTGACCACCCTCCCGTCCTTACACACACGCATTCTTTCCTTCTTCCTTTCTATCTTCCTTCCTTCCTACCTACCAAAGTTATATGACCTAGGCCTACCCTACTAGAATGATATAACCCACTACCTATTTAATTTAACTAGGATAGTCATATGATCCACTACTAGTTTAATTTAATCTTATCTACTACCTAGTAGCGTAATCCACGGCCGACCGGATCACCCCTTCTAAATTCGCGTGTTTCTACCAACTTAATTAATTCAACTACCTACTATACCACTAATTCGCAGTGAATCTAGCCATAAATTAGCTAACTAAGAGGGCAAGATCCTATTAGCCCTTTCTGATTTAAAAGAGGGCCGTATCTCTTCTATCTACGTAGCAGCAAAGCTATATAAGATACCCTACACTACCCTATATACGCGCGCCGATAGCCGAGTCTTACGCGTTAATAAGCGCCTATCTAGTCATAAATTAACCTAAACCGAAGAGGATACGCTTACTAAGTGGATATTATCTATAGATTTACGTAGAGTAGCGCCTAGACCGGCTACTATAGGAGAAATAGCTAATATCCTACTTACTACGCGCGGTAGTAACCCTCCGCCTACTATTAGTGTTAATTAGCTATTAAGCTTTATTAAACGCCGCGATAAGCTTCGATCTCGTTTCTCGCGAAGATACGATTACTAAAGAGCCCTAAACGAAGATCCGAAATCGATTCGGTAGTGGTTTATAACTATATAGTATATAATCGATAAGAAGGGTATATAACTAGAGCATATCTATAACTTTAATAAGATAGGCTTTATAATAGGCCTTATATCTTCGTAGAAAGTAGTTATAAGAGCTAAATACTACGGTCGGAGGTCTCTTCTATAACTAGGAAATCGTGAATAGGTTACTACGATCGAAGTAATCTACGTAGATAGCTATTTACTATCGCTATATATAGTCTTTAAAGATAAAGTAGCTATTATAGGATAGTTTAACGAAAATCTACTAAAAGACTAACGAATCGAGGTCTCTACTAACGGTTAGACTATCTATAAGATTATTCTACGCTAGTTATAAAAGATCTTTATACTATATACGAATTCGCGCGTATAAGATCGGTTTTAGCTATTAATTCTTAATAGTTATAATAGCTACTTTATACCCTAATTCGACTAAATCTATATAGAAAACGATATTATACCTCTTTATATACCTATATATTTATCGTATTTACTATAACTACTAGATATTAGGTATTTTATAGTAATTAAACGCGTGTATAATTACTTCGTTAGCGATCTTATATATAGAGAATATAACTATATCGATAAGCACGATTTCTTAGTAGATTATTAGTACGCGTGGCTAGAAGCGTTCTAATTAACTAATCTTACTATTAAAAATAGCTTCGTAGCTAGCGGTCTAGTTTATTAGATACTAAGAGAGTACTTAATAAGCTTAATATCTCTCTACGAACTCTAATATCACTAAATAACTAGCTGTCAACATGTGGATATTGTGGGGTCACATGATGAAGGACCCACTCATATAACCCCTCTCTACATATAGATCTTCTTCTATAAAGATCTAACAGATTGATCCTCAACGATCTCGCATATGATTGCCTACCTAAGCAAGAGACTCTCAACACTCTGATTCTGTTGATTTATCATGTGACCTTTTGCTATGTTTCTTGTGATATAAATACTGCTATGTTACCTAGTTAAATTGAATCAAGTTTATCATCCTTTGTGATCTCTCTTCTAGATCAGTGGTACTCTTCCACAATCGTGGTACTTCTTCTTCTACATAAGAAGTGCGCACGACCGATAGACTCATAACCGTGTATTCAGACACTACATTGAGTATTTACTAATCCTTATACACACTATCGTCCTGTGTGTATAACCACGACTTTATGGTCACCGCCTAGAATCCGACACTAGCTAAGTACTAGATCTAGCTAATTTATACTATAAACGCCTAGAACTACTACTTAGCTATTTAAGTAAGCTTCTATATTAAAAGATCTACTAAAGCGACGGTTAAATAGCTTACTAAGTCTTTTAAAACCTATCCTAGACTTACTTATTAAGGGTACCTACTTAGCGCTTTATAGTAGTATATTACTAGAGAGGATAACACGAATTTATATATAGCGAATAAGAAGATAGTTAAAAAGCGTAATCGGTTAACTAAGAAGATACCCTACGAAGAGGGTTTAACTATTAAAGAGGCTATATAGCTAGCTACGTAGCTAAACTAGCTAGAGGAAGATACTAGGGTAGATTCGTATATAGAGGTTAAATTACCTAGTTAGCTAACTAGGCTAGTAGCTAGGGCTCCGCCTAGGTATAGTAGATATAAGGAGGTTAGCTATAGGATTAATAAATATAAAAATTACTATATCTAGTTAAATTAATAGGTATTAGTTAAGATAATCGGTTTTAAAGTATTCTTATAGGGGTAGATAATCCGGTCGGCCGTGTGATATAGTCGGCCGTGGATTACGTTAACTAAATCGCTACTTACTAATCTACCTAGTCCTTCTCTTTAATTACTTCTCTACTATTACTAAGGCTAATATAACTTATTAACACGACGATTAGCAGATTTTCTATAGCACTGATCTAATATATAGTTGTCAACATGTGGATGTTATGGGGTCACATGACGAAGGACCCACTCATATAACCCCTCTCTACATATAGATATTCTTCTATAAATATCTAACAGATTGATCCTCAACGATCTCGCATATAATTGCCTACCTAAGCAAGAGACTCCCAACACTCTGATTCTGTTGATTTATCATGTGATCTTTTGCTATGTTTCTTATGATATAAATACTGCTATGTTTCCTAGTTAAATTGAATCAAGTTTATCATCCTTTGTGATCTCTCTTCTTGATCAGTGGTACTCTTCCACAATCGTGGTACTTCTCCTTCTTAGAAGTGCGCACGACCGATAGACTCATAACCGTGTATTCAGACACTATATTGAGTATTTACCAATCCTTATACACACTATCGTCTTGTGTGTATAACCACGACTTTATGGTCACCGCCTAGAGTCCGACAATAGTTAATATATATTATATATATATATTATCGGACTTTAGGCGGTGACTATAAAGTCGTGGTAGTAAATACTTAATATAGTGTCTGAATACATGATTATAAGTCTATTAGTCGTGCGTACTTCTATAAAGGAGAAGTACCACGATTATAGAAGAGTACTACCGATCTAGAAGAGAGATTATAAGGGATAATAAACTTGATTTAATTTAGTTAGGAAATATAGTAGTATTTATATCTTAGAAATATAGAAAAAGATTATATAAGAAAGTAAACAGTATTAGAGTATTAGATAGTCTCCTACCTAGGTAGATAATTTAATACGAGTATATAATTTAATATATGATCGTTAAAGATTAATCTAATAGGTTTTACGTAGGAAAATAATAATATAGTTTATCGGAAGGAAAAGGGCTTAGTAAGTAGTTATATAACTAACATATAATATCTATATATTAATATACCCTCTTAGTTCTTAATATAAGAGCGGAATAAGAGTAAAGTAAGGACTAAATAAGAGAAAAGAGAAATAGAATAACTAGATAGGAGATAGTATCTCTATACCTAGTTATCTAATAAAATCGTTATACTTCTACCTAGATAGGCGCTTAGTAAGACCGTCTACGGGTATATTAGTAGTCTTTATCTATTAGATAGATAGGCGCTTTACCTATATCTCTTAACGAATCTATAGGCGGTTAATATCTATATAACGAAGTTTAGTCTAAAAGACTAATTTCTCGCGATTTAATAGATCGACGGTCTATTTATTAGGGTAACCCTGTTGGTACCTAGTGGAAACCCTGGCGGCACCTAGTAGGGGCTAAATTACTACTAAGCCTTTTATACCCTTTTAATTACGAATTTAACTACCCCCTTCCTTCTTACATATACGCATCCTTTCCTTCTTATCTTCTATCTTCTACTGCTAGGAACAATTCAATTCAACCAGGCCTATCACATAACCTCTTGCCTACCCTACAAGAATCATATAACCTATATACTAATTTAAATTAAAATCTGTCAACATATGGATGTTGTGGGGTCACATGACGAAGGACCCACTTATATAACCCCTCTCTACGTCTAGATCTTCTCTATAAGATCTATCAGATTGATCCTTAACGATCTTGCATTGAATTACATACTCGCACCGAATTGCCTACCTAGGCAGGAGACTATCTAACACTCCAATACTCTTTGCTTTCTCATGTGATCTTTTACCATGTTTCTAAGATATAAATACTGCTATGTTTCCTAACTAAATTGAATCAAGTTTATCATCCTTTGTGATCTCTCTTCTAGATCAGTGGTACTCTTCCACAATCGTGGTACTTCTTCTTCTACATAAGAAGTGCGCACGACCGATAGACTCATAACCGTGTATTCAGACACTACATTGAGTATTTACTAATCCTTATGCACACTATCGCCTTGTGTGTATAACCACGACTTTATGGTCACCGCCTAGAGTCCGATAAAATCTATCT